TGGCGCTAGCCAGGGTCCACACAGCTTTAATTTGGTATTTGTGTGTGTGTTTGTTTGTTTGTGTCACGCCTGGCGCTATCCGTATCTGACGGCAAAAAAGCATAGGATGTTATAAATTTTTCAATTCTCCTATTTTTTTTTTCAGGCATAACCTGGGATTCGAACCCGCACTATCGCCCTACATGCATTCCCCCATACGCTTCGCATTCATACCCATTCTTCCAAGTTGCTTCACGTTATTATCTTGCGTTTGAAAGCCCTATTTGAATATTGCGGGCAGCTGTATGTGGCCAGCTGTGTTTGATGGTACGGTACGGTACGGGAGACGGTGTCGTATTACCCTCGATCGTACCTGTCCCGTACCTATCCCCTACCGTACCGTGCCATCAAAGACGGCTGGCCACAATGCATATTCAAATAGGGCTTTCAAATGCAAGATCACAATGTGAAACAACTTGGAAGAATTAGTATGTATGCGAAGTGTATCGGGGGATGCATGGAAGGCGCGCGATAGTGCGGGTTCGAATCCCTTCGAATGCTTTTTTTGTCTAGGTCATCAAGGCAAAAAAGCATAGCGTAGGGCCCTGAGCTTCCAAGCTCTCTCGTGGGATTCTTGCTTTGCGGTCTCTGCCGTAACCCAAAGAATGCCAAGTTGGACGGTTTGCCAGCACTGGCACTTTGAACACAGAACCACTCTTTCCACAGCACCTCTCCTGAATGTTGGTTAAGTTTTCTCAACATAATCGACGGCTCCACTTTTCTGTACCTTACCTTTGGGCATTCGTCAGACAATGTACAGGTATAATGTTAAAGCAGACGGATGCCAGTCTCAAGGCCTGTGCTTCGGAGATCCTAATCTCTCCCACCATTTTGCGTATACTGCGAGCATATTAAAAAAAAAAGAAGAAAAGCGAGAAACAAAAACAACTGCAAAAATATATAAAAAATGGTCCTCGTTTTTGACCTTCCGAAACCGATCACTTTTGCTGAGTCCCTATTTTGCACCCAGAAGCGCGAATGCAGGATAGTCTTCTTCACAAATCAGACCACCCCGGAAATCAGATCACGAAAGGGTAGTCGGAACTCCCATACTCTTCTGCTACACTTTACTCACTGCATATAATTTATTTGAGAGGAAAGTGACTAACAAGATAATGGTAGCGATTTGGGCAATGATCTTAGACAGACAGGCATAGTGGGATGGTCTAAGACTATGATTGAGAAACAGAGGGTACCAGGTTCAAGTCCTGCTTGGAAGGGGAAGGAATTTTTCAGCCATGCTGCAACCCACAGTTATTTGGGAACTTGTGGCCTAGCACGAGGAAAACATGGATGCAGTGAATTGCATTTTCGGTCTTGGACAACTCAATGTGTTGTGACTCGGATCTACTCGCCTCCCACCGCTTTAGGAGCTGCATCTGCACCTTGATCTTTGGGGGTGGTGGCGTTCCTACGGATGCGGAAAACTCGGCTTCCAGCCGAGTCTCACGCGAACCGTAGATTATTTTTATTTTTTGTAGGAAAGGTGTTTCGTCCCCACACCGGAGCTCGCGCTTTTCCGTCAAGTGTCAAATCAAGGCGGCGGAAAATCGCAAGTTCGGGTGTGGGGAGCAAACATCTTTCCATGCGTTTCTTGGTGATACTGACTTTGTCTAGCAAGCAGGAAGGGTGGGGGGGGGGTCCAGACAATAACTAGTCTATGGTTAGGGGATCTAAATGGCATGGTGTATCGCTCAAGATCAACGCCGGAAACACAACATCAATGTCTTCATTACTCGTACTATAGCTGCACTGCCTGCCTAACCCTACCTGTGTGTGGGTTGCATGTGGGTGGGGGTGTGGATGTGTGGGGGTGCATGTGTGCATATGTGTGGGCGTGTGGATGTGTGGGGGTGCATGTGTGCATATGTGTGTGTGTGTGTGTGTGTGTGTGTGTGTGTGTGTGTGTGTGTGTGTGTGTGTGTGTGTGTGTGTGTGTGTGTGTGTGTGTACATATGTGTGAGTGTGCATGTGTGTGCACACGTGGGTGAGCGCACGCATGTGTGTGGGGTGGGTGTGCATGTGCGTATGTCTATTCGTCTTTTCAGGTCCAGGGAGTTCCAGCAGATACCCAGCCCCGAGAGACCACTTCGAACAAGAGGTAAGCCATTGGGAAGCAAACCTTGTCTTCTACAGAAGTAGACTATGATGTTCGTGTAACTGATGGAGAGACGGTGAATGAATGAATAAGACAGAGACAGGGAGAGAGAGAGAGAGAGAGAGAGAGAGAGAGAGAGAGAGAGAGAGAGAGAGAGAGAGAGAGAGAGAGAGAGAGAGAGAGAGAGAGAGAGAGAGAAAGGGAGAGAGAGGGCTTGCAACATCCGAAACTGGAGATAGGTGCTTCCCCTTCCTTGTCAGTCTGTGGCGTAGCGCTGCGACTGCTTCAGTGGCATCGCTGATCTGATCAGTATGTGGAGCGTGCTTGATCTGTATCTTACACGTCTCACACAAAACCTCGCGACATTGAGTGCAGTGATATAGCATCTCCATCTTGATTTGGATAGGGCAAATGTGCACTTGCCCGTGAAACGCTATCTGATTATTGAAACCTTGCGCTCCCACCACGGGTGAACGGACAACGTGGGTGCTTGGTGATTCTGGACTTGTCACGAACACACGATCAGACGCAGTTTCATTTCAAAAATGTCAACGTCCGTCATGTTCAAGCAAGGAGCCCGTACAGTTGGCTTTCATAGCTTCTTGCACCTTGTGACATGTGTACATAGGTCTTCTACACCTCTGCCAATATCTTGCTGTAACAAGATTCGTGAATCTCGGGCAACCTATGTAGAGAGGTCAGAGTGAGGGCTCGTTGTAAATGGCACCTTCAGCGAAGGCGATGGGGGCAGATAATACAAAGAGAATCAAGGCTATCCTGAGATACTAGTGATCAGACGATGCTTTGCTGGGCACCTCGGTGACATTTGCTATCCTTATCTGAACAAGAATTGCTTTGGGATCATGATCTATGCCTTCATCCTTGGGGGTGGTGGCGTTCCCACGGTTGTGCAAAACTCGCCCTCAAGCTGAGTCTTATGCGAACCGTGATTCATTTTTATTTTTAGGACCTGCGTTTATATCTTCTTCAATTTCTTGTTTCGCTCAGCAAATCGCACTGTGGCTGCTGGTGCTAGTGATGGTGGTATTGGTGAACATTCTTGGCGTCCAAGACTTGCAGCTGAGCTGCCTAATGATCCTGTCTTGGAGGAACTAGGGTATGTGGCGGAATAATTTATCTGTGCATTCTCAACACGATCTCACACATGCACAGTGTTGGGTTCTCACGCACTGTATGTCTAAAATTTTCGACCCATTCAAATTTCGGCCTCCCAGGGGTGAAACCCATTTCGGCCGCATCAAATTTTCAGCCTCTGCTGCTGCCGCCTGCATGCACTGTCACACTGAACCTTGCGAAACAAAATTTCGGCCGCAACAAATTTTCGGCCAAACATGACCAGGCCGAAAATAGCCGAAAATAAATATGCGCCGAATATTTGTTGCCTTACAGTAACAACACAAGCACTCTAAAACTTACAACACACACACTCCAACGACCTCATGCAGCTTTTCCCGATTCTAGAATCGTTTGATCCCGAACATAATATCCGCTGGCCTGGGCAGTTGCTGTATTCGAGTTCGTCATCCATATTTGCCATAGCTGCCCATTTTCGAGAACTTGTCTGGCCAACTCGGGATGGCCCCACTCTTTAGCTACCATTGATAGTTGAAACCGTCAATATTTCAGTAACGTACATGTTGTGCATAGAGACGCAAGATAGACCACTGTAAAAAAACCTGTTGCAACTGATTGTGAAAACTAATAATGTGCTGGGGAAAAAAGAGCTTTTCGGCAACATATTCGATTGAAGCCATGCCGCAATGTTTGAATGAGTGCCAACATGCGAAGTGCCAGTAACTTCAATTGAATCGTATTCCTATGCATTGTGCATGTTTGCTACATGCACAATGCATCCCACCACACTGGGATTTCTATGTACTTGCCGATGCGCAATGGGCAAATGTTTGTACACTTTCTGCAGACAACTGCGTCAGCGCTACTTGGACCAAGGGGGTAATTCTAGTCGCTACCTTCATCAGCTGGACACCATGCAGGAAGAGAGATTGGAAGCATTACTCAGGACTAACAGTGGTGTTACGGTTGGCCCTGTCATGGCCAAACCAGGTCATCGACCACGACCGCTGCCTGGTACAGTGGCCAATGTTCCAAACAGCCAGGCCGTCATGTCTCTGCAGCAGCGATTGCATTCTCTGGAAGCAAACAATCGTCGACTGCTGGCCGGGATATCGGGTGCTCACCAGGTAAGTCAGGAGCTGTAGATTGTCCTGTTTGTGTGTTGAAATTGCTGTGTTCATTCTAGGGATAATGAGGGAGGGGGGCCGATTCTACTCCATGCTCTCCAATTCTCTGCTCACAAACCTTGTGGTAACCAATTCCATTGTAACCAAAACAGACTAAAGTCGAAGCACACTAATCACAATGTGTCATAACTGCGCCGAGGTGAAGTTATTTGGAATGAAGCTGCAGTACACCTGAAGTGAGTTGTGCTTGTGCAATAGGGCTGTGATGCACGTTGGCACTCGGGCACAGAGCATTACACACACGTGTAGAGGTGAAGGGTGAAGTGACTGCGCGTTCCACTTTTTTTAGTGACCATCATGCTCCGTCTTTCTGTGCAGTCTGACTGGCATTTCATACTTGAAACTTTCAGTGGCAGCTAGACAATTTCTTACGCTGACTGCATGTGATGTGGTTATGTTGGTGGACAGTTAGTCGTAACTCTTAACATTTTGTCCTTCTCCTTTCTATACAATTGCTTACCTTACTCTTTGTACTAAACTGCTATTTTGTGTATTTGTATGGGTTTTTAGACCCCGCTATCAATTGAAGGCCAGCAGGCCAGACGAGGTAAGATGATGGACTCAATTCACCTGATATTTCGTGTAGTTTGTAGCTGGTGCTCCAGTTTTTGCATGATATTTGTTAGAGCGAAATGCTGCCTTTGCCACTGTGCATGCAAACGTCATTCTGATCCATGGCCTAATGAAGTGATCTCTGTTTCCGTAGTTGCTGCAAGGTTGCAGGTGATCTGGCAGGAGGGGGTCCGGGGTGTCCCCTGTGAAAGTTTTGAAATTAGAGTGCAAAATCCTGCATTCTGGGCACCTCTGGCCGTGGTTGGGCGAAAAAGTGGTGCGGCCAAAGCCGGACCTTTCGTATGGCCAGCGATACCGGTTGGTACGCCCCTGGTTTTAGACGAGCACATGTTGTCCTCTGATGTCTCGTCTCTATCTTATCTTCTCATGCTACTCGTGAAAGCACAACATTGTCTGCAGTTGTCTGAGTACAAGGACCGAGAAAATTCAGCCAGTGCAGCTAACACTGGACGATGAATGAATGGTGGGTCTGGGAATTGCTGAAGGTTGATCCTGAGGAAAGATCGCATCTTGGATGCAATATTGCATCGTTTCAAGTTCAACTTTCAACATAGTCGGAAAAAGAAAATGTATTTAGTAGAATGGTTTCGGATGGAGAGCCAGGAATTAAGTTATGGAAAAGAAAAAGTGGAGTGCGCATCCGAGATGTGCTAGAACTGTTAGCCAGTTAGTTGTAGAACGTCAGTACCGTTGGTCAGGATCGTGCAAAGTTATCGCATGAGCTGATTATTTAGTAACTGGTGGTGTTAGTGGACATTATAGCGTAACTTGTAGTTCCTTGGGCCATTTTTCTTTTCTATGCATTTAGTGGAGTTAGGGTATCTGACGGCACTTGGTGTTGCGCACTGTTTGGAGCAGCACAGTTTATGACAGCTTTCTTCCTGTATATCCGCCACAGGCTCTCAGGAGGTGGAAACCTTGCGGCGTCAGATTGACATAGCAACAGAGGAGCTCCGGCTGCAAAAGCTGCAGGCCGAGTTGCAGGCGCTAAAACCATCGGTGAGAAATTTGAGATGGTTTGTTGGGATACGGTTTATTGGGAGATGGCTTGTTGTGAGAGGGCTTGTTGTATCCATGCGTGTGTGTATGCGTGTGTGTATGCGTGTGTGTATGTATGTGTATGTACTTGTATATGCGTGTGTGTGCATGTGTGTATGTGTGAATGTGTGCGTGAATGTGTGCGTGTGTGTGTGCGTGTGTGTCTGTGTGTCTGTCTGTATGCTTAGAAGCAGCATGCAGCCCCCGCAGCCAATGATCTTGGACCAAGCCCGTATGATCCAAAGTAAGCATTTATGATGGGGAGTTATGGTCAACCGTGGGAATAACGACCCTTGTTTGTGCATGAGCAAAGTATTGTGTTTTTCCACAAGTTGTTTATTACTCATAGAGTTTAGAGTATGCAGTCAAATGAACACTAGGTTTGAAGATTTTGTCGTGATTCACCAGTTGTTGTCATACCCAAGGTCATTATTCACCAGGTTAACTGTACTCGCGTTGATGCGCAGCACGAATAGTTTAAACCTGCATCAGAATCCTCTAGTGCCGTTTCTGGTGAATGAATGTTTGCCGTGTTTCTGCATCTTTGCCTTGATGCTTGATGGTGGTAATGTTCCTACATATGCAGAAACACTCAGTCTTAGGCCGCGGTCACACCGAGCCCGATTCAGCCGTTCAGCCAAAAAAAGCGCTTTTTTCGGCTGAGGTTTCCACGGAAACGGCTGAAAATCGGGGCACAAGCCACTTTCAACTTTCAGCCCTTTTGGAAGCGCTGAAAAGCGGAAAGTGGCTGAATAATTTTGGCTGAAGAGTGAAGTGCAAGAGGAGTTGAAGAACTTGAGTTGACGTTTGTTGTAGTCAGGTAGTTTCTTCTTCTCTTGTATTGTACCGTAGTTGTGTGAAGTGTTTGAAGGTTTTCGTTGTCAGCCATGGATAGTTGGAGCGTGGGACTGGAGCGCCGATTGCTCGAGCTGTGGTACGAAGCAAAAACGCGATATCAGACGACAATGAAAAAGGATACGAGCAAACGAGCCTGGATCTTCGCAGAACTGAAAAAGTTTGCTGCGAATGAAGCCGGGGCCGTCTTCATCAACAAAGTCAAAAACGTGTCGCTTCCTCCGGCGACAAAGCCTGGTATTTGCCACCATCGGCAAAGTGAGGTGATTCTCAGGGGAAATTATTCGCATCATCACCATTGTACACAATTAAATACAGATAGCGATGCGGCTCTTCGTTTCCGAATCCATTCTCAATCCACTGTGACAAATCGCTCTTCTCTCTCTCTACTCCTCTCTCTTTCTATCTATTTTCCAGATCCCTACGTCTCCTTCCATCCACGACGAGGCCCACTTTGAGATTCAAAATTAGGACGTAGTGTGTGTGCAAATCACGTATACTGGGCACAGGGCTAGGGGTCATCCTCCAAAATAATATAAAACCTGGGAAAACCCGCGTCAGCCAGTTTTGGTGTGACCGTCAGCTGGCTAGTCGCAAGCCACTTTCAGCGCAAGCCAAAAATGGCTGAACTTGGTGGGACCGCGGCCTAACTGAGTCTCAAGCGAACCATGAATTTTTTCTGTCTTAGGAGATCTCATTTTCGCCATGTCTGTATGTGCTGCAGGTCTGGTTATATTGTGCTCTGGGACTTCATCCTGGGCTTGCCCCCTAGCCTGCAGCAGTGCAGTGTATCGGTTCGTCTGAATGAAGACGGCTCACAGCTGTCGTCCTTTCAACCGCTACCCTGCGTGCCGTGTGTGAGGGAAGACGCCCGGGCAAGATCACAAGCAGATCTCTCACAGATGTGCTCAGCTCTTCTCAAAAGTCAACAAGCATTCCCTGGGTGAGATAAACCGATGTAATTGTCTCTCGCAATGTGCACGAGTACTGGGCATTGAAATGAAGTTGAAACCAGGGAACAAGTCATTAATTCCAGCACAAGATTGAAACCTGAGGGCTGTTGGCGCGGAGGGCTGTTTTCAAGAGCCTGCATCAATGATCATGCATTGTCTTCCGTGAAAACTTGTGTGTTCTTCTGAAAGCTCTGGCTCCTGAACAGCTGCAGTCTTGCCTGAATCAAGGCATGACCGGCACACCGGCTGGGAGCGATGTGTCTCGCCTTATCCATAACATAGGATTTCTGAATTCAACTTACCCCTGTATGTTGCACAATGGGTGGTGTTTATAACATACCATACATGCTGCAGAGAGACCTGTCAAAGTAACCACTATCATAGCGTAGCCATCTGTCCCAGAGGACCAACACAACTAGGACCGAAGGGCGCTATTTCCAGTCAAATGTCACAGGATAAGGAGATCGCCTGAATATATCCAGGCCCATTGGCACGCGGTCCGATCGCTTCATTTCCGGTCAAATATCTCATTTGGCAGGACCGCCTGAAATGCCGGTGTTACGGCCCTGATTTCTTGAGCGGTCTGCTTAGACAGGTTAGACAGCACCTGATTGACTCAAGTCTCTTTAACCACTCTTCAGACAAAACCTTTTTATGATCTTTCCCATGTTGTGTGTCTATATGGCAATCCATGCATCCATTCAAACTTCTCCTGTGCAGTCTCTCACCATCATCCACTATGAAAATGGAGATCAGGATCCATTCAAACAACGAAGAGCAGCAGCAGCAGCAGCAGCAGCAGCATCGTCGTCGCACGAATGCGGTAGCCTGGACAGCCGTGGACTTGTTTGACAGACATCACAACCTCCTAAGTGGAAGGTAGATCTACTCATGTGCAGAGAATTAAACAAAATTACAGGTTAATCAGATAATAGGCTGTATGTATCTACGCATACTGAACAAACTTCTGGAGCTACCTGTTTGAGTTAGTATGTTCATCATGATTTGGGTCATGCAGTGTTTCCTTGTTACCTTTCAGGGTCATTTCAAGGGATAAAGGATTAGAAATTCAGCCAGGTTTACATACTTGAGAAGTCGTGTACAAAGACAGAATGTCTGGGGAAGCAGGCCTAAGACCCACAATTTTCAAATCTTCAGTGTGGTTCGAGCGTAAAATTCAGCTACTATCTGGCTCTCAAAAGCCTCTATTTGAACGGACTGCATTGTAACAATGTCGGTGTATATTGTTACTACCCCTCTCCAGATGGAAAGTTCCGTTGCGGGTACCACCTGTCATCAAAGATATCACAACAGCCGGACTCAATGACATTGTTCAGGTATAATGAGCATAAGTTGGTTCTTTGGGACACGAACAAAGGTACGAGAATTTCACCGAGCTCCCCGGTGTGTGCGCTTTCATCAAGCATTCACTGATGATATTGAGCAAATGTGGACAAAGAGTTGTAGTGGTGTTTTTGAGCTGCACCGGTTTGTACCAGACTCGAGGCAGCCTGCAACATGAAACGCCTCTACCCTCTCCTCTCCGCCCACAGTACTGTCGGGCGTCGAAGAACAGAGCGCCGAAGAACGACCAGCCTAGAATTCTGCCAAGCACAGCATACCAATGTATACACGGTGACTTAACTGTGCGTAGACTGTAATACATGACAATAAGAGGAGGCTGCCCCCCCCCCAGTTCTTCGGCGACCGACACTACTCTATTGGTACAGCGCCAAATTGGGTGAATGGGGATGGATAGGAAATTTGGCAGAGAGCTTGTGCTTGAGCAAACAGCCAGTGAGAGTGGTAAACAACAAAAGAACAACCAGCATGAGTGCATGCGCGTATGGGGTTAGATGTGCTGGTGTGTTCAGCTGACAAGAGAGCTAGAGGAGGGAACTGTGCACTTGGCCATGTGCGCAGCAACAGTGCTCTGGGTAAATGTGGAGTGTCATGTGTAGACGCGTTCTCTCTTCCTGTCACTCACTTCTCTCCCTATCTCTCTCTCTCTCTCTCTCTCTCTCTCTCTCTCTCTTTGTCCTTGTCTTTCTCTGTCTTCCTCTGTATTTCTCTCCATCCAACCCCTCCCTCTGCATTTCTATCCATCTATCTATCTATCTCTCTATCTATCTCTGTATCTATCTATCTGTCTGTCTGTCTGTCTGTCTGTCTGTCTGTCTGCCTGTCTGTCTATCTATCTATCTATCTCTTTTTGGCTCTCTGAGGTGATTGTTTCTATGTACTGTTGTTTCAGTACTATACCAGTGAGATCTACTTACGCCTGGTTAATGCACGTGATGCAGATGTACAAGTGGAAGTAGCTGTCAGCTCCGGACAACGCCATCTTTACCACTATATGCCTGTAAGTAGTATACCATACTTTGTCAATCATTCAGACAGTGGTTATGCATGTGTCTGGTATCTGTTATGCATGTGTCTGGTATCTGTTGTGATTCTAAGAAATACTACATTGCATGTTTGATTGTAGAGTTGTCAAATGAAGATGTTCTGTACAATTCTCTCTTCTTGTCCCCCCCCCCCCTCCTCTCTCTCTCTCTCTCCTTCTCTTGCTCTCTATCTCTGTCTCTCTGTCTATCTCACTCTTTGTGTCTATCTCTCTCCCTCTCTGTCTTTCTCTCTCCCTGTCTCTCTCTCACCCACCCTCTCTCTCACTTACTCTCACTCTCTCTCTCCCCCCCCCCCCTCTCTCTCTCTCTCTCTTTCTTTTTCTCTCTCTCTCTCTCTCTCTCTCTCTCTCTCTCTTTCTCTCTCTCTCCCTCTATGTCGCTCTCTCTCTGTCGCTATCTCTCTCTCTATCGCGATCTCTCTCTGTCTCTCTGTCGCTCTCTCTGTCTCTCTCTCTGTGTGTCTCTCTCTCTGTCTCTTTCTCGCTCTCTCTCAATCTCTCTCTCCTTCTCTCTCTCCTTCTCTCTCTCCTTCTCTCTCTCCTTCTCTCTCTCCTTCTCTCTCTCTCCTTCTCCCTCTACTTCTCTCTCTCTCTCCCTCTCTCTCTTTCCTTCTCTCGCTCTCCCTGTACAGTTTCAAGCCAGCTTTGCACACCAAGGATTTCCCCCTATCGCTCGCCACCAAGCAGTACCCAATCGCATGATGAATCCAGCACCCTTGAAGAAGCCAGCCAAGACTAGCAAGACCGAGTCAAAGAAGAAAAAGAAGCCGGTTCACAAGAAGGGGCCAGCAGCCACTGTGGATACGTTTGACAAACAATCTGATAGCTCTGACAGCGATTTATCAGTGTTATCTGTGATGTCCCTGGACGAAACAGAGCCAGTGCCAGCCGAGGAAGCAGCCGATGATGAGAACGATGGCGAAGACCCAGTCACCACTCCAGCACCACCGTAAGTGTGGCAATTCACCAAAAGCAACCGTTGTTGGCTGCCACTATCCAGCACTGGTGACAATGTTTAACAGCTTATTTGCTTTCACCACGACAGCGATGGGCATCATCTATCAGTGTAAATCCAGTAAAACCTGTGAATAACAACCACCCCTTGGGGCCAGAGAAAGCGGTCTTTAGTGGCAGGTGGTCCTTAGTTAGAGGTTTTCACCCCAGAACCATAGATGAATGTGAGACCGTCCGTGCCTGGCGAAGTGGTCTGTACTACCAGGCTGGTCGCTAGTCACAGTGGTCTTTAGTTACAGGTTTTACTCTATTCGTTTGAGTTTAAGGGGAGCATTAGTGTGTATGTATGTGTGTGTGTACAGCGTGCGTGTCTTTGCGTATACATGTGTTTTCGTGTGTGCATGTGTATCGGTGTGGATGTGCGTGTGTGCATGTGCATGTCTCCGTGTGTGTGTGTGTGCACGTGTTTCATTCTTCACAAACACGCAGAGTGGAAGAGCCGGATGTGGTCCTGGAAATGCTTGGTGTTGAGTTGTGGAGAGTGAAAGATGTCGGCGAGGGTAAGGTGACAGTATGCTTGACCGTACGACGACCGGATGGAACGGTGAGTTAAGCCTAGTTCACATTCGACGCAACGCCGACGGTACGGGATGTAAGGGCTTGTCGGGAGGGCTGGGGTGAGCTGTAAAATCCTGTACGATTCGTACGACACGACATGCAGCAGTCGTTGCGACGTTCACCGTCGAACGGCGCGAGTCATAAGGCACGGTCCGTGACGGGGTGACTTTTGGACCTAGTTTCTCGTTTTTCGGGACTTCTTTTCAATTATTTCTCCTGGAAAGAAGCGGAATCAAGTTCACAATACCAGTTTTTCGTGAAGACCAAAAGATTAGCCCTGAAAGTTGTGGCATTCAAATAATAGCCCCAGAAAATGATAGAATAGTTCGTCTGTCACGCTTCTGAACTATCCCTAAATACAATAAGTGACATGAGATCTTATGTTGCTAAAATTCAATTCAAGTCGTGCTAGCCGTTCTGTGAGTTACAATGGGAAGCGCAGTGTTCGAAATGCTAAAAATTTCCAAGTACGAATCGGGAGCAGTCGACGCACGACGCCGTCTCCTGTTCACACTCGAATTGCAGCCGTTTTGTACGCTTGCGTCCCCGTCTACGCCCGTCTACGGTATGAAAAGTTGGATCGATCCAACTCTTCCCGTCGCTTCCCGATCTGTACGGTAGTACGGTTGCGTTCCCGTTCCTGGTGTTCACATTGGACGCCATCAGACCGTCCCGTCGCTTCCCGTCGATCCTTACGTCGCGTCCCGTCGCGCCCCGTCGAATGTGAACTAGGCTTTACACGTGTGAGGTACTGCAGTACAATGAAGTGGATCCTGCTTAGTAGAACTCGCTAGTACGTTTTCTGATAAGAGTCATAAGACGCACGCTTACGTACTACGAACATTGTCCCGAGCAGGTGTATCGATCCACATTGAAGTATGCTGGGATTAGAAGTGCATCGGATGCCAAGTACTCTTTCGTAACCCCCGTGAGTTCATTCGTCTCCACAGAGTCCTGCAGTACACTACTATGTTGCCTCGCAATCCTGAGTGCTCACTACAGTAAAAACCTGTCAAGGCAACCACTCCGATAAGGCCACTGTCTGTTCCAGAGGACTGATACGTTACTATTTATTCGTGAAGACTTGGGAACGGAAACAAAACAAATAATGAATATAGATACACATCAAGGACCACTACATGTTGTATGTTGTTTCAAGTCACATGACTCTGTATAAGGAGAACACCTGAACATAGGAACCACCTTTGTAAGGGCCCTCGAGCGGTCGTCTTAGACAGGTTTTACTCTAGTTGAAAAAAAACCCTGGATAAAAAAATCATCAGATTCTGTTGCTTGGGGACTATTTTTTGGAAAGATCAATCAAGCGGTCGGCTTACATAGGTTACACTGTAGACTGTTTCTCCACGATGACTGCACTCCACAGTCTGTTTGTACGTAACTCTTCCACTGACATTCGTAATGCATGTCTGGTGACAATAGCTCTCCTGTACAGCTCAGCGGGTGCAGCTACCACGCTATATCAGTTTAGTTGTATTCGCCACAAAGGGGAAAGCCAGTCGACTGCTGATCTAAAGAACACCGTCGTGTAGGAGAATTAGTTCTTTATAGCCGAAGTTTGTTATAACAGAAATGCACTCACACCATAGAAACTACACGTCACAAATGACATGTGGCCCATGACTGTATGAGTGCACTTGGCCATAATGCAGCCCTGCAAGAGAATTTATGGCTCTTTTAAGTACTTTATAAGCAAAATTCACATTACACGAGTTTGTTTTAATTGGAGTCGACTGTGCACGTTCTCCTGTAGATCAGCAAGGCATCCGGCGAGGACATGATCTGGACATCCAGGGCAACCGACTCATTCTACAAGACCAAAGTACAAAACTTTGGCAAGCAGCAGGTACTCTACACTATACAGACACACAGTATCGTGTTTTCTGGTTATAAGTTCACTTTTGACAACTTAAAAACAAAACAGTTATAAAGGGGTAGTCGACTTGCAATCGGGGGTTAACCACTATTATTGATATTGGACCGGTAAATCGAGGCCCGAAATACTGGGTGTTGACTTATAACCGGGACTTACAACCGGTAAAATACAGGACATGTTGGCTGTGCTAGCCGCTAGTTGTTCCTTTTTCATTTCTAGAAACGTGTACTTGGCTCTCCATCCAAGTCCATTCTGTACAATTCTCTCTCCTTGTTCACCCCCTTCTCTCTTCCTCCTTCCCTTGCACTCTATCTCTGTGTCTCTGTCTCTGTCTGTCTGTCTGTCTCTGTATCTCTCTCTCTCTCCCTCTCTCTCTCCCCATCTCTCTCCATCTCTCTCCATCTCTCTGCCTCTCTCTCTCTCTTCCTCTCTCCCTCTCTCTCCCTCTCTCCCTCTCTCTCTCCCTCTCTCTCCCTCTCTCTCCCTCTCTCCCCCTCTCTCTCTCTCTCTCTCTCTCTCTCTCTCTCTCTTTCTCTTTCTCTCTCTCTCTCTCTTTCTCTTTCTCTCTCTCTCATAGTGCAGCTGCAGGAGACCAAAAGAAGGAAAAATGCATGCACACACCGACACCTGCACACACAGACGCATATGCAGACGCACAGAGGTGCTTTCAGGCGTAAAAACCCTGTTGTAGAGGTCTTAGTCCTCATTTGTTAGACTTACCTGTCTTTATAAATGTAACTTACTCTCTCTCTCTCTCTCTCTCTCTCTCTCTCTCTCTCCCTCTCTCTCTTAAGTTAGCATCTTTGGTTTTTGGTTGAATTTTCACGTACGCAGGTGCATGTGTGTGCTTTGAATACATTCGTAGATACACCTGCGACAGGCTGGTCTCTATCTTGACAGTTACATGCTGATTGAGGTCTTCCTACAGCCGTACGTTGGCAAACTGCAACAGCAGCAGCAGGTGCGAGCAGCAGCTGGGGCCGGACGAGGAGCAGCCAGTGGCAGTAGCAAGGCCACCTCCACTCTCACTGTACCCGGTGTGCTGGGATCGCGACGTAACAGCGCCACCGCCTCGCCAAACCAGACCTCACCATCCTCCACTAACCCACGCGGTGAACTACCTTCGACACGTTTGCCAAAATCATCGAAAGACCGTAGAGGGTCGCAGAGTGAGCCATCGCAGAATACAGTGACTTCTTCAACCAGTTCTCCCCCGAGTAGATTGCACAGTCGACAAGATAAAGGGAAGTACGATGAGGAGAGCTTGGTGGCGTGGACCTTCATCAACATCTTTACTGGTAAGAGGTGTGTGTGTTTGTGTGTGTGTGTATGTGTGTGTGTGTGTGTTTGTTTGTGAGTGAAGGGTGGGTGTGGGTGGGTGGGTGTGTACATGTGTGCATGTGCATGCACGTGCACACACGTGCACACACGTGTGTGCATGCACGTGCGTGCATGCACACAAGTGCGTGCATTTTACAAAGTACAAGTACAGGGCGCTCGCGCGCACGCACGCATGCGTGAAGAAGAAGGGGTTTCGTGTTCATGTGTGTACGTGCTAGTGTCTGCATGGAATGGGAAAGGGTTCAAGCCGTGCTACATGATTGCAATTGTGTACCTAGACAGCTAATCGGTGCAAATGCCTCAAATTGCCTACGTTTACCTTGTCCAATCCAATTCCCAGGTGCTGTTGACAGGGCGAGGGTTGTAACAGATGCTGGCGCTGCTTCCAGTGCAGCAGCAGATGGAGGAGCGGGACAAATGGAGATGACAGCGGCAGCCGTGGAGGCGGCAGCAGCTGGAGAACTGGACTTGTACCACGTTAGCAGTGCAGTGCACACACTACGCCTCTACCAGCCACCAGTCAATGCAGCCGACCAATGTACTGAAGAAGTAAGCTTGCTTTCCAGCACTTCTTTTCGTGGAAAGTCCTGGAATTTGGTTTCAGAACATTGTGAGGGCATGCAGCCTGTCTCACATCTCCACCATCGATCAAATGTGCACTTGCCATATTCTTTTTTCTCTAGAAACCATCTCTCTCTACGCAGGACGCAACAATGCGAATCAATGGGCAGAATAACGTTATCTCTTATAGGCCACAGGCCATCATGAGAATTTTAATAATATAATAATAATGTTAGTAAAAAGGAAAAGGACATATGGAAACGAGTAAAGAGTAACTCTCCACCACTGTAACTAGATACAGGATATATACAGGATATATGTCCTTTTCCTTTTTACTTTTATTATTGGCTCAATACCCGAGTTTCAAATAATAATGTTTCTTCAGAATTCCCAAACTCCATTGCAGCGTATTTCTTGCACTTGAAAACACTGCCATTCCGGCAACAGGCTCTCAGCTGCACCAAATAAATAACTTTGCGAATATTTCGCCCATTGGGCATCATCAGGGCATTGAGGAAGGGGAGGCAAAACACGAAATATAAAGACGAATAATGCAGGCAGATGAATGTTCTAGAACTAACACATTGTGGTCACTGACACAATTGGCAAGGCCAGCAAACTAAACAATCATCACTTGTAACGTTGTTCCTTCGACAACTGATCAAAAACGTTACAGACGACTTAAGTTTCGCCAAAGTAACCCTCCCCCTTCACCCAACCTCCAAGGAGTAGAGAAGTCCGGCCCAGGTTCAAAACGTTTCTTCAGACGTCAGGCGAAATAGCACGTCATAGTACATTCGAGATCAGCGGGAAGAAGATGACGACGTCCACTAATTTAGTATCTGTGCACACGAATCTGCTGTGTGTGTTACTCTGTGTGTCAGCTATGGCATCATCGCCTGTGGTTCCATGCCTAGCATGTACGTCTGAACCATCCTGCAAAGTTTGAATGACGTAGGTTGAGCGATCGCTCCGCGAAACATACTTTTTGAAATTCTCTTCATAGTATATCTTCCACCATTGAAATTTCGAATTTCTTCGAATTTTTTGCTGAGAGGGGTGGCTTGCAACCTCGATATGGCTTGTTCTAGGCATGCTTTGGAGCCATCGCCTGTTGAAACAGTGGCGGGAAGCTGCCCTGCAACTGTTCCAGCAGGAAATTAATCGATCCGAGAAAGCGCGAGTCCGCGAATCTCGGTTGAATATTGAGTATTTCAAGCCTTTTCACGACGAAGATGGAGTTCTTTTTGGCGATGGACGTCGCGGCAAAGGACATGGTGTCCGACTTCTGGCGTCTGGTGAAGCCAGGGATCATTTGTCCAGTCAGGTCGGCAGCCTTACCGTCGGTAAGCTTGTGTTTGGATCCCATTCTGCTCGATGTGGTAGATCACAAACAGTTTGATATCGCACAACTTGATCTCAGCATCGTGCGTACGGTATTTTATATTCAGAAAATCCCAAAGTGTCTCTGTGTGGCCGTCCTATGCCACGAGAAACTCCAATCAGGCTCCTATGTCCTCTGCCTTCATGATTGAATGTCCACTTCGTTTGAACTACGAACACAACAATCGAGGACGGCTTTGCAATGAAAAACACAGCTATACTGGAGCTGAAAAAAAGAAGAAAAAAACGTGCTCAGGATGAGACTCGAGTACACGCCTACTCTCCCAGCAGGTGAAACGCAAATTTTTGTGAATAATGCGTGTCGCCGACTGACCAGTAATTTCGCCTGACGATTCCCAAACTCCATTGCAGCGTATTTCTTGCACTTGAAAACACCGCCATTCCGGCAACAGGCTCTCAGCTGCACCAAATAAATAACTTTGCCAATAGTTGTCGAAGAAACAACGTTACAAGTGATGATTGTTTAGTTTGCTGGCCTTGCCAATTGTGTCAGTGACCACAATGTGTTAGTTCTAGAACATTCTTCTGCCTGCATTATTCGTCTTTATATTTCGTGTTTTTGCCTCCCCTTCCTCAATGCCCTGATGATGCCCAATGGGCGAAATATTGGCAAAGTTATTTATTTGGTGCAGCTGAGAGCCTGTTGCCGGAATGGCGGTGTTTTAAAGTATAATAATAATGCTTCTACAATTGAAGCTCAAAATGCAGAGTTGACATTCATCAATATCCTGCTTCTGCTCTTAGCCACCCTGCACTTTGGTATTGTGGGGGGAATTTCCCTAGACATTTAAAATGGTTCTGTATTGTCACTGTCTTGCACAGGACCGTGCCTCCTTGCCACGGCTTGGCAAGGGTACGATACGAATGAGATTGTTCAGTGACACCTACCCAGCACCTAGCCTTGTGGACGAATCTGATCAGTCGGATCTAGAGACCGTCAAACTTCCCAAGGTCAGGAGTCATCTTCCTTCCGCTCCGATATATTTATCTATGTGTGTCTGTTTTCATACACACACATGTAAACGCAAGTGTATGAACACGAATACGCCCACACACTCATATCGAGTACACACACAGTGACTGTCTGCCCATGGGTCTATCTGGGCATCTTTTGATGCATGCTTGTGCCCCACTTTGTGCACGGTTGTTGTCTTTACAGGAAATATTCCTGCCACACGACAGACCAAGTTCTCTGACACATCGCTACAAGGACAGCGATCCGATATTTATCTTCATCGACGGGGCTCGCTTCCTGCCAGATAATGTGACGGTCACAAAGGTAGGTGTCATTTCAAAATCACGACTGTTTTGATGAAATGGATAACTCATGAGGACATCCACATCTTTCATGTCAGTAAGATAAACTTGACCTCATGTCAATGAGTGACACCACCCAGAAACAATCAACAGGGGTTAGCAGATCAGACCCACCCAAGTGAAATCCCATTATCTTCATCCGTTCTCTTAGGAAGCTTCGTGTAAATGTTTGGACATCAGAAATGTAATTGCTACTGCGTTGCTGACATTCGAACTGCTGTTCTCCCTCGTCTTATGAGTCGGTATCACTGACTCTCTCACGCTTTGTCTGTATCTACCGTATTTCTGGTTTATAAGCCATACTTTGAACACTCAAAATTCACCCGAAAAAGGGGGTGCGGCTTATACTCAGATGATCAAATCAACGGTGATAAAGAGGGTAGATGTCCATATTTTGTGGCAAAAAATAGGAGGGGGGGGGGGTGCGGCTTATACTCCAGTGCGGCGTATACTCCGGAAAATACGGTACATCCCTCTCCCACCTCTTTCTTCCTGCTTATCTCCATCTCTCCATCTCTCTGTCTCTGTCTTTTTGTCTCTGTCTTTCACTCTCTCTTTCACTCCCTCTCTCTCTCTCTCTCTCTCTCTCTCTCTCTCTCTCTCTCTCTCTCTCTCTCTCTCTCTCTCTCTCTCTCTCTCTCTCTCTCTCTCTCTCTCTCTCTCTCTCTCTCTCTCTCTCTCTCTTGTCCCCTTCTCTTCCTTTCTTCCATGCAGGCTACTGCTCGTATCCTGGACAAACAGTACAACCCGTAAGTGTAGCTACAGTCAACTTCGCCAATAACGACATTCGGCGGGGCATCAGAAAAGTGTCCTTATTCGCGAAGTGTCCTTATAACCGAAGTCCCATTTGAATGTATGTGAACCCATATTTTGTATAGTATGACATGCATATCAAAATCAAGCTCTTTTCTTGCTCTATGTCAATGTGTACTTTATTTTCATATTGCAGTTGAAAGGAACTAAAAATTCAATATGCAAGGGAAATTAATTGAAAAAATTAATAATAATATTATGCCTTTTTGATACAGTAGATACAGGGCCAGAGACATGTACATGTACATGTATGATGATTACTGTACAATCATGTACCACTACATGTACATTGTATACATATAGGTGTGCTGGTAAATCCAACAATTTTGAAGCCAACATAAAAAAGGAAGAAAAAGCCCCCTCCCCCTTGGCTGCATTTTCTTGCATGTGTGCCTTTATAATAATTATTAATTATGAATAATATCCATCACCATAGGTTCTGGTACTTCTGCATGACAGGTACATGTACTTGACTGACAGGTACTTGAAATAGCTGTCAAAAGCCCAGAAAGTCGTTATTCAAGCAGTGAATATGACCTCCGGGCACTAAAAGCATGTCGCTATACGCGAATTGTCGTTATTCAGATAGTCGTTATATCCGAAGTTAAATGTATACAGTTAGATGGGACTTTGCTCTGGGCATGGAAATTCGGTCGTTATTCGCGAATTGTCGTTATATCCGCAGTCGTTATTAGCGAAGTTGACTGTATTCTTATTGTGTACCTCGTCTTCACTCGTAATAGTATCGTTACAATAGCAGTGAGGCTTTCTCTGCATTCACGTACAGGGGAAATGGTTTGAAGGAGACCTATCCATTCTTGGTAGGCATAGTTATCGCAACAATCGGTGTGGTCCGCAATGGATAACAGTCTAGATTGTACCGGTTTGCATGCATGCGTGTAGGGGGGGGGGGGGGGCTGTGTGCTGTTGGGCTGTCATGTATGCGTGTAGAGGGGGGGGGGGGGCTGTGTGCTGTTGGGCCGGCATGCATGCGTGTGGAGAGGGGGGGGGGGTGCCGTTGGGCCTGCATGCATGCGTGTGGAGAGGGGGGGGGGGGGTGCTGTTGGGCCGGCATGCATGCGTATGCGGGTGTGCGTCAACATGGTACTGGATGTGTATGAAAGGGTATCTAGGGAAAGACCTGCTCACAACTTTTGCAACTACAGTCAAACCTGTCAAGGCGCCCACTCGGATAAGGCGACCACCTGTCCTAGAAGACCACTAAAACCAGGACCTAGGGATGTTATTTCCAGTCAAATGACCCTGGATAAGGAGACCACCTGGTAATAGAGACCACGTTTTGAGGGTCCTATGAGCGGTGGTCGGCTTAGACAGGTTTCACTGTACTTCAAAGTATACTCGGAGAGAGTTGCGGTTGCTCGTGACAGTTGCTGTCTGATGATCGGTTAAACCCGTGAAACAACAGGAACACTTTTGATTCCTTTCAAGTGTGTGTGTACTTCAAAGGATATGTATCCTCTGTTTACCATCTGCATGCACTCAGAATTGGCAAGGAGCTATCGTCGATGCCGTTCCTGAAATCCGACATCTACAATCCTCACTTTGTACCAGCTGAGACGGACCGTTCCAAGCTGGTCAGCTACAGCGAGAAGATCAGCGTGTGCTTGGAACTACCCGAGGATGTACAGGTAGCACGTACGGCTACTCTTGTTATCAAGGTGAGTACAGTACTACTTCGCTAATAACGACTGTGGATATAACGACAATTCGCGAATAGAGACAGAGAGCCCATGCCCAGAGCAAAGTCCCATCTAACTGTAATACTTACACAAAGGCAGAAGAGAACGGAGACAGCCGGCTAGGTCATTGTTGTAACGCTGCGTTTCATGCACATAGCAAAGCTAAGGCAATACTCACACAACTGATAACCTGTACATCATCTGGGTCCAAATTTTTACCCAGGCAGGTAGCTAAAACAGGGCGTGCAAAGTGAGTAAAGCGTGAAAAAGCAGGTGGCATAGCGCGCAAAAGCAGGTGGCATAGCGCGCAAAAGCAGGTGGCATGGCGCGCAAAAGCAGGTGGCATGGCGCGCAAAAGCAGGTGGCATAGCGCGCAAAAGCAGGTGGCATAGCGCGCAAAAGGTGGCAAAAGCGCGACATTGGGTTGTACCAGATTATGTTTCTCTTTCTCTCGGCTCTTCTTTGCCTGGCCGCCGTTGTTGAATGTTAGTGCGACCGGAAATCCGCTGGCTCATAATGCTTTCCTGTAGGCCGGTGCAGCATTGTTGAAGGCCTCTTGGTCGCACGAAATGCTCGACACTCGCTTGTTAATCATTGCCGGCAATTTCTGTATGATTGTCGGCGGGTGGTTCGACTCGGTGTTGATGTATCTCGGTGCGTCGTTCGGTTTTCGGTACGGCTCATAGCGGCCACTTGCGAGGTTGAAGGTAACGTCAAGGAAGTTGACTGTTCCCTGGTTTGTGCTGATCGTGATTCTCAACCCGGAGTCTCTGAACAGCTTCGTGATGGCTTTGCGGATGGAGTCTGCCTCATGTCCCGTCATGTTCTTGAATACTGCGAGGCCATCGTGGCGGTACAGGCCTATGCTGGCGGGGCCGAACATATCTGCAAGACGCTTCAGCAGGAAAGCTCCTACCAGTTGGCACACTTCCGCGCCATCATAGCTCCCCATGGTGACGTCGAATAGGCCTACTCTGTCCTTCTTGGCCCATGCCTTGTCGCCTGTGAATAATAAGGATTTTCTGGCATGCGTGATCGTATCGACGTCACGGTGGGGAATGGCGGTGAATTGCGTTGCAAACTCGAGTGCCGCTTTGAGGAGCTGCTCTGAGATCGATGGGTAGAATTCGACGATGTCAAATGAGACGAAGGAATATTGTTCTTTATCCTCGATGTTCTTGAACCAGGTTATCACCTCGGGAGAATGAAGTTGAAGACACCACTGCAGCTGTACTTATGGGTTATCACCTCAGCCGAGTTCTTCCACAAATTAGTGTTGGTGTGGCACTGCACGGCTCGGACGATCTTGTCCGGGATACTCTTGCTGATGATGCCCGTCTCCGTCTTGGCAGGGTTTATTAATCGACACGGGAGGGCGCTGGTGAAGTTCTCCTTATGATCCTTAAGGGTCAGAAATGCACCAGCCTTGCCGAGTACGTCCATTCTGTCACCGAGCCCACGGTCAGCGGCTATTCCTCTTGCCTCCATGTTTATCTCGCAGTAAGCTCCTTCCGGCGTTGACGCATGGTGCTTCGTCACATTCTCGGTGAGCGGCTTTTCGTACTTCTAACTGTAATACATATACATGTAATGCGACTTCGGGTATAAGGACACTTCGCGAATAAGGACACTTTTCTGATGCCCCGCCAAGTGTCGTTATACGCTAAATTGACTGTACAGTGCTACTGGCGTAGACATGAAAGTCCGGTCGATTGGCCGGGACCGGCGCCCTCAGTGCATACAGAACGTTGCATACATAGTACACATGTTGATCGCATGCCAACTCACGGCTGCATGGCCAGCGCACTGGAGCCACTTGGCCTCTGACTGGCTTTCCATATCCACGACAGGACAGTCAACTTTGCGGATAACGACACTCGGCGGAGCATCAGAAAAGTGTCCTTATTCGCGAAGTGTCCTTATACCCGAAGTCGCAGTACATGTATATGTATTACAGTTAGATGAGACTTTGCTCTGGGCATGGAAATTCTGTCGTTATTCGCAAATTGTCGTTATATCCGCTGTCATTATTACCGAAGTTGACTGTAGATTGCTCCATGACATATAGTTGCTCCTTGGCATTTGTTTTTGCGCTTGTCTGTGTTCACCATGTGATCAGGTGTTCCCTGGTATGGCGTGCTGCAATTGTGCGCACATGCTCCTTTATAAGGACCAATCCGTGTGTGTATGTGTGTGTGTGTGTGTGTGTGTGTGTGTGTGTGTGTGTGTGTGTGTGTGTGTGTGTGTGTGTGTGTGTGTGTGTGTGTGTGTGTGTGTGTGTGTGTGTGTGTGTGTGTGTGTGTGTGTGTGTGTGTGTGTGTGTGTGTGTGTGTGTGTGTGCGTATGGGTGCATATGTGTGTGTGTGTGCATGTGTACCGTATTTTCCGGAGTTTAAGCCGCACTTGGAACACTCAACATTCACTCCAAAAAGTACGGTGCGGCTTAAACTCAGATGATCAGAATAACGGTGACAAATAGGGAAGATGTCTGTGTTTCATGGCCAAAAAATGGGGAGTGCAGCTTATACTCCAGTGCGGCTTTGAAAACTACGGCATGTATGTGTGTGAACATGTTTATGCATGCCTATGTACATGATTGTAAATCTATTTTGTTGCTAGCTCTATACTGTCGATGGCTACAGCAAGCGGATAGCGGCAGTTGGCTACGCCGTACTGAAGCTCTTCGTAACCGTTCCTGGCGGTGAGCAGCCAAGCAACGCGTCAACAAGTATGAAGGTACGCTGAGTCTATATTATGTTCGCTGGTGTTGCTTTATCGTGTTCTATAGAATCCATCCCCTTATTGGGCTGCCAGGGGCGTCACTGGTCTCCCTTTTAGGGGGAGTGCACGGCCGCATATGTGTAGGATGGCTGGTGCATGTCATTCATGGTCAATATGTGCATGCTGGACACTGGTGCCAGGTCCAGCGAATCCAAAGCTGATCATTGCCTCTATACCGAGAACCTGATAAACAGGGAAGTTATACAGGTCGAACACCGACACTTCCACTCATCCCAGTCTGTGTCACCGACATGATAGAGAGACTCGTTGGCTGGAGTTCCCACACTCTGTGCTTTCATCATGTTCTGTATGTAAGATCTGAGGGTAACCAGAGCACGGACCAGTGATGTGGACGTGGCAGTAGTATTTGAGAGTAACCAGAGCACGGACCAGTGATGTGGACGTGGCAGTAGTATTTGAGAGTAACCAGAGCACGGACCAGTGATGTGGACGTGGCAGTAGTATTTGAGAGTAACCAGAGCACGGACCAGTGATGTGGACGTGGCAGTAGTATTTGAGAGTAACCAGAGCACGGACCAGTGATGTGGACGTGGCAGTAGTGAGCTTGATGTGGCGATGACCGTATGCCATTACGAGATTGTTGTGTGTACCCTCACTGCGGAATCCCCGATTGTTGTCAATGCCTTCGATCAGGACAGGGTCTGCCTCGACACAGTTCTTTGCAAAGTTCTCCTGAGCTGAGATTGATGACATTCGCACGGTTGATAGTAAAAGGCACTGGAATAACTAGACTGCAGCCTTTCTTCCAGCCTCTATTCTTTGTGAAGTCCTCTCCTTCTCCTCCTGCACGACACTAGACGAGACGAGGTTGACTTGGACGAGACAAGGATGATTTGGGTGAAACGAGGAGGAATAATGACGAACGGCGGGTGAGGATGACTGGGACGACCTGACTTGAGAGGGAGAGGGAGAGGGAGGGGGGAGAGAGGGTGAGGGTGGGAGGGACAGGGACAGGGAGAGGGAGAGGGAGGGAGGGAGAGGGAGGGAGGGAGGGAGAGGGAGGGAGAGAGTGGAGAGAGAGAGAGTGAGAGAGAATGGCAGTGCTATGTAATGGGCCTGGGTAGCTAGAGGGAGAAGGAGAGGGAGAGGGCGGGGGGATGGAGAGAGGGAGGGAGAGAGAGAGAGGGAGAGGGAGAGAGGGAGAGGGAGATGGAGGGAGACGGAGGGAGAGAGGGAGAGGGAGAGGCAGGGAGAGAGTGAGAGCATGGCAGTGCTGGGGTGGGGGGAAGCTATGGCAAAATATGATCTCACAAGTAACTGATCAGGCCAACGGAACAAAAGTGGAGTACGGTAACCTAACCACGGGGTGCATGCAGGCTAGCAAGAAAAGAATGTAGAAGGAGACAATGTAGAGGAGAAGGTAACTAACATATCTATTGTCATTCCCCTGCTGCTCCATATTGGTATTGTATTGTTGTGTGAATTGGTAGTGTCCAGTACAGTATCTGGATCATAAGATGTGTGTCATAAACTACAGCAGTGGGATCAAGCCACCATGATGTCATCATTAGCTAATGCCAGGCTGTCATGATGTCATCATTAGTTAATGCCAAGCCACCATGATGTCATCAGTAGCTAACTCCAAGCCACCATGCTGTCATCATTAGCTACTGCCCCATCGTACTGTGTTGCGCTGCACCACAGGTTGCTCTGAATGCTGGCTGCCATCAGCTACGCTTGTACTCCCGTGAGCCGGTGGTGCAGACGGCCATGTCCGACCAGCTCTTTACTGGCAACAGGTGAGGTTCAGCGCTGTGTACGATGTAATATCACGACCATGAAGTTTACATACACGCATATGCACACACATGCACACACATGCACACACACACACACACACACACACACACACACACACACACACACACACACACACACACACACACACACACACACACACATGCAAACACACACACACACACACACACACACACACACACACACACAGGTATTGTTTCTGCCTTCGTGCTCAATGCAGAACGGGCAAAGCTGGTTAAACCGTGTGAGCAGAATTGAACCAGTTACTGCCTCTTACTCAAGTTTCATGCCAATAGGCAATTATCAGACGTCATAAAGTATATTCTCTTGGTCTGCGTGTGACTTGTTCACTAGGTACGTACCCTGTGCAACAGTGTTGGTTCGAGTCTGCAAGTGCAAGCCTGAAGTAAGTCCTTGCACGATTCAACATTTCTCTCCTTTTCTTGGACAACTTCGTCAGAACTTAACCAGCTTTGCTTTAGGAGCCGCATCTGAGTCTTCAGTATTGAGGGTGGTGGTATTCCTGCGAATGCGAAAAATTCGGGTCAACCGAGTCTCTACGCAAACTGTTCATATTTTTAGTGCGAAAATGCACACTTATGTGAAGTCTCGCTTTTCAGACCTCCCCGTTCTCACACTCACGCCTTCGCTCAGTCGTTCCCTTTACCAGAAATAATTCAAAACCGATGGCAGCAGATTGGTAACATGTCATAATTGACTCTATGGTGCCATCAGTCTGTTTCCATCTTGCCATGGCATACTGCTGCGAGGGGTGTAGCTGAGAAAATTCTGGTATAACCCACCTTGTGTTCTGTCTAATCTGCTGACCTGTCCAGCAACTGATTGAGGGCACACAGCTACCAGCTGAACTCCGTGATGCTCCCTCCTACTCATCAGGTATGATCAATGACAATGTTGCTGGCAGTTTGCGGCTGTTTGAACAACCAGGTCCTGAATCTGGTGATCCGCGGAGACGGACCGTGCCGTACAAGACTGATCACTGACCACAGGTCTTGATTCAAACAGCCCTGATCTACAGATGTTGCCTTAGCGGAGGTAATCCCCGCGGCACAATGACAGTCCGTGGCGTCGGAAGGTATTTAAGGGTGGTACGGTCAACCACCTGCATTACAATTTACTCTTGGGGTTGGAGTGGCTCCTTGGAACATATTGTGAAATTTAGAACCCAAAGCAGTGCCTTTCTAGTGATTCAGGAGGTACATGGGGACAAAAAGTTGTACGGTCAATACCGTAGGGACCGTAGCATGACACTACTGTCAGTGCTGTGTTTTATAATCACCCATGTTTTACATTAACACATCTATCAAGCTGATGTGGCTGGTTGGTTGGTTGGATTTATTTAAAGTCGTACAACAAACAGGCATGTCTGCCTCCTTATATGAAGACGACTTGTGTTTTGTTGTATTCTCATTCGTTTGGGTAAGAACACATGTACGCAGCTGGTGTGCTTTGCTGTATTCCCACAGGTTTGTATATCAACACATCAATCCAGCTGACCGACGGGGAGAAGCACTTGATGCTGGCCATGCACAAACGTGCACAGTTGCCCGTCAAGAATAGCGTACCACTGCTTGGAGATCCGTCATGGTCACAGCTGGACCGGACCCCGGCCGAGATAGCCGAATTTATCAAGGTAGGTGATGGTGGTCATTTCCTTTTCTGCCGGAAGGCTTGAAGTGGCTTCATAACTTAAGAGTTTCATGACTTCATGGTTGATGGATTCAAACGGGTCATAAGGTTATCTGGTGATTGCATTGTGTCAGTCTGTGGGGATACATGTATTGTGCCCGCCATGTAGTTCGTGTATTCCCCAACCAGCCAACTCTTCACAAACGATATTGGTCCACTGCTTGTTTGTTTGTTTGGTTGTGTGTGTGTGCGTACATGCGTGTGTACGTGTGCACGATCAAGGTGTGTGTGTGCGTGCGTGTGTGCGTGTGCACAATCAAGGTGTGCATGTGTGCTCACACTTGGTGTGGGTGTGTCTACACAGACCTGTATCTATGTGTACTGTATTTTCCGGAGTATAAGCTAAGCCACTTCGAACACTCAACATGCGCCCCGAGAATGGAGGTGCGGCATATACTCCGATGATCAAATTAACGGTGATAAATAGAGTAGATGTCTGTATTTCGTGTCAAAAAAAGGGGTGTGCGGCTTATACTCCAGTGTGGCTTATACTCCAGTGTGGCTTATACTCCAGTGTGGCTTATACTCCAGTGTGGCTTATACTCCAGTGTGGCTTATACTCCAGTGTGGCTTATACTCCAGTGCGGCTTATACTCCAGTGTGGCTTATACTTCAGTGCGGCTTATACTCCGGAAAATACGCTGTTTGTGTGTGTGCGTGTGCGTGCATGTGTACGAACAAGGTGTGAGTGAATGTGTATGTGTGTGTGTGTGTGTGTATGTGTGTGCGTGTGACTTTGCTCATCATTATCTTGTGTGTAACTTGTGCAGGGCAAACTGAGTCGTTCCCTTGACAGTGAGTCTTACAATCTAGACATCACTTACATCAGCAAATACACACCAACCACTGGTCTACTGGTGAGTGAATGAATCGTGTGTGTGTGTGTGTGTGTGTGTGCGTGTGCGTGCATGCGTGTGTGCGTGTGTGCATGCGTGCGTGCATGCGTGCGTTTTATCCAACACATGCAGTGCTCTGACGGAGTATCCACTGCTTTGACAGCAGTGACTGAAACCTGATCAGAGAACACCTAGATAAAGGGGAATATCTCACAGTACGTGAGGGATTTGTTTAGGGTCCCTCCGACCAAAAGATTGTCCTGTAAGAACACCTGTGTTGCCAAAAGCCCCTTGTTACACGGACTGCTGGTTCTTACACAAAGGCTGTAAGTCTCTCTACACCTGTCAAGTGCTTCAAGGTTCTCAAGAGGTTCAAGGTTCTCAAGAGGTTCAAGGTTCTCAAGAGGTTCAAGGTTCTCAAGAGGTTCAAGGTTCTCAAGAGGTTCAAGGTTCTCAAGAGGTTCAAGGTTCTCAAGAGGTTCAAGGTTCTCAAGAGAAGAAAAAAATGTTGTACTCTCTGCATACACATAGCCGGATACTTAGGCTGCTCAACCCATCACTTTCAATCCCATGCCCCCCCCCCCTAACTTTGTTCTGTTCGTGTTACTATTTCCATAGGTCAGTATTGACGAAGCGACTAACTTGCCATGGAAGAAAGTCACCCAGGCGGTGGCAGCATTCACTCCGCCCGGCTCCTTCTTCATGGTAGGTTCTCCCATCCCAACACTCCTTCAAAAAGTACACCACCACACAAATGTTTCTTCTGTCAGCCATTTCATTGTGCCTGCAGAGCTAGTGCATGGGATTGGCTGGACAAGGTATTGAGCGGAACAGGCACCATAGCTCCATTCTGGGAAGTGAAATACTTATATTTTGTTAATTAGTAGGTGCCGTGGTTGGCTCTGGTCATCCCAGCAAGAAGGCAGATATGCCTGTTCGATTGGTGAATAAAAATAAAAAATACCATACCATACCAAATACAGCCTAACATGTGCTTGCTGGACCCTGTACCGAGCGGAATCCTGTATTGACCGGACAAATGTTCATGCACCAAAGTGATGTGGATTGAACATTCAGACCTGGATCAAGCGGAGTCCGGTCGTATCAGGACAGTTTCCGCTGCACCAAGTGTGTTCGGTTAGTGCAGGTTTACTGTGTTACCAGTGTCTGTCGACAAGGCAAACTCTCTGCGAACATTACATTTCGCCAGGGACAAACGCCAGGGAAAGCAGCCTGCAATTTGTCTGCGGGTGATGTTTTACAAGAGCATGCGGCTGACGTTTAGCCTGTTTGTTTGATGTGCTCTTGTTGCTTCAAGGATACTACAGACTTTCTTATCAAAGCCTGTTGCGGTAGAGGCCTGTGTCCGTAGCGTTTCATGTGGGGTGCGGGATTTTCAGATCTAAATCTTTGTCAACGTTTACATTTGCACTGTGTGTGTGTGTGTGTGTGTGTGTGCTTGTGTGTGTGCATGCGTGCGTGCGTGTGTGTGTGCATGCGTGCGTGCGTGCGTGTGTGTGTGTGTGCAGGGTCAGTTTCATGACAGTGTTCAGTTCACAACTAAGCTAGACTGGCAATCTCCACAGAACTGTCCACAGTGGCACGACGGTGTTTGGGTAAGCTGTAGACATATGGGTTTGTGTGTACAATTGTGTGTACGAGTGCATGCTTGTATAGTCACATACGTGTGTTTTGTGTGTACGTGTGTGCCTGTGTATGTATATATATATATATATGGGCCACAGCCAGCTTAACCGTTTTCGAATTTCATTTATTCAAGAAGTTGGTCACTTTGTTCGCTAGTGACTTGAACTAGATTAGAACTAGACTGCCAAACAAGTGTAAGAATGAAGTGTGACAAGATGTTTTGCTACCGGTTGATGGGTGAAGCACAGCGTGAATGCGCTGGCCAGGCGCAATTTTGATCACGATTGGTGTAACAGTGTGACTGCGAGCTCTGCTTCACAGCTGTTACGCGTCAGCTTACTGGCAGTCTGTTACTTGTTAGGCTACGACCTGTCAGCGCAATGCACGCGCGCAATCCATCTATAAAAGAACGTTCTTGTTCTGAGAACAATGTCGAATCTAACAACACCGTTCTTCTGTGCGTGCTGAACGGTTACAGTTAGAGCACTCTGGCTTGTGGACGGCTATCCTCCAAGAGGCCCGTGGGGCATTCGCTGTTGATGCTGCGCCGTGGTTTGACATCCGCTTGAATACAATCAAGGGTGAATGCCCCACATGCCTCTTGAAAGATAATCGTGAGCGTTTGTTTTTCAACACTGCATTGTTAATCTACAGCATCATGGCTGTGAATGGGTTTTAAAAAAATGCTTCCTTCTTCATTAGCCTTCATTGCGATCGGTTCGGCGAATCACACTGAGCTCCGCTGACGAGGCCTAGCAAGGTTGAAACTGCTTGCTGTCCGGAGATTGTATGCTTCAACCACTGAGCCATCCATTCCACTTTGTTAAACTCGGATGGTGAGCCAATCTAATTACGGTGAAAAAGGAGAAGGACAAAATGTTAGGAGTTGTGACTAACTGTCCACCACCGTGGAGAAATGTTGGTGCTAGGTGTCAGGTCGCTGAATGTCTCAGTACTCCTTGTCAGTTTTGTGCCATTTTGTCGTACTTGTTGTCTGTATTGTGATCTGTTAAGTTGGTGGACAGTTAGTCGTAACTCGTAACTGTAGTATTATTCTCAATATGGACAAGGAGACATGGACGAGTAAACTAATGGGGAGCAAGAAATGCACAGCCAGTAGGTAAGTCCAAAACAAGAGAAGTCCCGAGCCAGTGAAGCACATCAAAGTTCTGGCCTACGGGAAACGGCCTGTGTGACGTACATACAGCATGCAACGCATACAGTCATAAGTGTACAGTAGTGTACGCATAACAGAGTCCTGATATTACGACAGTAACATTTATTTTCCTTCTCCTATTTCACTGTGTGTGCTCCATGTCCAGCTGTACCGCCGTCGTCACCTGCACTTCCATCTGTCCCTGGTGATAATGCTGCAAGCCGTCGATATCACATTCAAGAGAAACAAGCAGAAATTCCAGCTAGCAGAACAGGTATGCTTACTACTATGCCTAGTCATAATATTATTACTCCCTTCATTTAGAAAGGGAAAGGACAGATGGATACGAATTAAGAGTAGCTGTCCACCACTGTATACAGTGAGGAAGTGCAACAACATCCGAGTTTCAGACTCCTTTCCCTGTTAGGAAAGAGATTGCTCCCCACACTGGAGAGCCTATTCCGCCGACTTGACTTGACACTTGACTGACTCGCGACTGCCATCTAGAGCACGCGAGAAGTCCATCGAACCTTCGACTTGGCAAACCAGCAGGAAAGCACCACTCCCTGCTCAATACACAGTGTTTTGGGGAAATTCACCCCTCATCATACAATCGTCGCTACCTCTATTTCGTCCTTTCAGTGTTATCATTCATACTGTGCATGCGTAGCAAAGCACGGGGTATTTTGCCTTGACGGATTCTGAGTGTGAGATGCAGCAATGGCGACGAAGATGGGATTTTACTGGTACATGAACGTGCAGGCACAGTGGATTGGTCCAAGACCTTGAGATACGAGAGGTGACTGAGTCAAGTCTTGCAGGGGAAGATGCAGCACCTAAAGATGGAGGTGAGGGGGATAAGCCTCCCAACCACCGGCACATGTTCCGAAAATCCCATTAGCTGCATCCGTGTACCCTTGTGCCTCGCCACAAGTTCATAGTTGACTGTGGGTAGACTAGCAGCACGGTTGAAAACCCGCTCCCAGGGGCAGCAGGCGCGTACGCAGGGTCACCTCTAGGGGGGTTTCCAACCGAATCGCAAGCATTGACTCGTTTTTAAACCCTGTCTAAAGAGCCCTACAATATACATGTATATACAATGTGCCCGGTTAAAACAGCTCCTTTTCGAAAATGTTTTCAATGAGTGATGTGTCGCTTTGTTTTGCTTTGATTGGTGCTTTTCCCCAATGTCATGCAGTCGTATTTATTCAGCTTTTATTTCTTGTGTACTTGCATACTGGTATTAGTTTAGTCCCACAATCTGCGATAAAAATAATGATCTGCTGTAGCACCTACTCCACTTTTATGTTTATGTATCTATGTCATTCGGATCTTCCCAAGTTGTACATTGTACTGTTGAGATACCGAATTCAAATAAACCAGTACCATACCATACTATTATAGGAAATTTTCAAAATGATGCATTTTTTCGTGTTCTTTGGATCATAAACTTCAGTTCTACTCACTCAATCTTCATTATCTTAGGCTTTCTGGAAGTGGAAAGGTAGACCTACCAGGGAGAGAATGAGGTCGACCATGATAGCCAGGACTCAGTACAGCCATGTACATATCCAGCTCTATATGCTATAGCGGTAGAGTGCAGCGACGGTGCGAAAAATGCCCAAACTGGGCGAAAGGCCGAAAAACGCGTCCTGCTCCAGCAATTTCGCTTTTCTTGATCGCAGAGTTTCGTTTTTTTTGCTGTGTACTCTTGAAAATATCACAAGTGAAGCTCCTGCAAATAATTGAGCAAGTCAGCGGGACGAAAAGTCTCAAATTCTCGATACTCGAGTCGCACTGCGCGCTTTTGAAATTGCGAGATCGCGGCTCAACTTACGAACAATTTATCTCAAGAGACATTGCTCGCAGCGCGTCGCAAATTGTTTCAACCGACAGCTGAGAGTTTTCTATTCGACCTGGATATCTGGATCGTTAGATTTGAGCGAGATTTGACTGAGTTACGATCTGTTGAAGTTTCGCATTCTTGCCAGATCGATCGTGCACCCTACCAAAATATGCCCAAAAACGTTGCTCGTTTGGAACATTTGGGGGGTTTCCGGGCAACGGGAAACCCCCCCTGCGTACGCGCCTGGGCAGATGGTTTCAATCTGAACTTCTCTTGCCAGCGGTCTTGAAACTGAAAAATCGGTGAGGAGCTCTGCACAGCAAGAACACGACATCTGTCTGTCTTGTGCTGTTCCCTTCCAACCCCACAGGCATGGTGTGCTGTGCCCGTCTTCTCCGACGGCTATGCATTCACGGAGCGCTATCAGCTGCCATTGTTCCAGGGAAGGCCCACAGCCACTGTGTTGGAGGTACTGCAGGCGGCAGTGCCATCCGATGGAGATCTGATGACCTTCTACAAGGATGTGCGCAAGGTAACGATGAATACACTTTAATGATGGACTCTGATGGGGAACCGAGGATAAATGTATAGACAAGAAAAAGGACCAAGGAACTACAAGTTACGCTATAATGTCCTAGTAACTGGTGGTGTTAGTGGACATTATAGCGTAACTTGTAGCTCCTTTGTCCTTTTTCTTTTCTATACACTTCAACGAAAACTTGAGTAGTGCAAAGGCTTCAAGATTTCAAAGTCTGAAAGAAATGTTGATCGGTTGCTGCTTACTGAGATGATGACTTCATCATAAATCAGCCGTTTTAGCATCGACCGTTGCAATCCGAGAGGGGCAAATCGTCCTTCAGCAAACCGCTTCAGGATGGTATCCTCAAACGATTTCCACTTGTTGGACGAGGCAAAACTGATCCAGGGAGGTCAGGGAAGAGGCCATACATCCAACTTTGTTAGAGCATCGCTGGCCTTAAGCGAGGGTCCCTAGTTCGAGTCCTGGTGGTGACAGTCAATTTTTTTCGGACTTTCCCGTTTGCATCTTTCCCTCCAACTACTGGATACTTCAAGAGCAAAAAAATAATTATATGCTCAGCTCTGGTTTCAGGTGTTTGAGAAGTAATGGGTGCGAAAGGCCTCATCAGATCCACAGCCACGTTTTCTACTTATATCCTCAATTTTTTTCCGATTTAGCTCTCCTTTTGCCAGTACACTAGATGCAGTGAATGGGATTTTTCGGTCTTTGGCCACTTTGTAGCGGGTCTCATCTACTCACTTCTCAAAGCTTTAGGAGCTGCATCTGCGCCTTGATCCTAGAGGGTGGTGGCGTTCCTGCGGATGCGGAAAACTTGGTCCCCGGCCGAGTCTCACGCGAACCGTGAAACGTTTTTTTGTTTTATTCTATTATTTAGCAGTACATGTTCTCTGTACTGCCAAGCTGCCAACGTAAAATAAATATACCATACCACACCATAATTATATCAAGGCATAATTTCCGGCTGGATCCTGTCCTGAAACTTGCCGACACCACGAAATGTGAAGAGATTAATGGTATCAGGGTGGGTCATTGGAAACGTGTGTGATGGTTAATGTTCTCGTTTCACTTCAGATCAAGGCCATTGAAGGAGCATCTCTGACGGTCCGTGTGGCCGACGTGCGTAGGAGGCAAGAAATTGAAAATCTCGAGGTGAGTCAACAGCAAGATGCTTGTGTGGATAGTTTTGATGCACTATACTGGGAGAGAGAGGGAGGGAGGGAGAGAAAAAGAGAGAGAGAGAGGGAGAGAGGGAGAGAGATGAACCGTGCATAATCTCTCTCTCTCTCTCTCTTGCCGTCTCTTTCCGTCTCTTTCTATCTCTCTCTCTCTCTCTCTCGCCGTCTCTTTCCGTCTCTCTCTCTCTCCGTCTCTCTTCGTCTCTCTCCGTCTCTCTCTGTCTCTCTCTCTCTCTCTCTCTCTCTCTCTCTCTCTCTCTCTCTCTCTCTCTCTCTCTCTGTCTCTCTCTGTCTCTCTCTCTCTCTCTGTCTCTCTCTTTCTCTTTCTCTCTCTCTCTCTCTCTCTCTCTCTCTCTCTCCGTCTCTCTCTCTATCTTTCTCTCTCTCTCTCTCTCTCCATCTCTCTCTCTCTTCGTCTCTCCATCTCTATCTCTCTTTTTCTCTCCACGTCGCTGTCGTGTATTCCATCTCATTATGCTCAGCCACGGATGGGAGCTTTCTTCATGCAATGTGTGAACAGCAACTGCAACTTTGTGACTGGTTGCCCAAACCATGCACACACCAAGGTAGTACTTTGGGATAGAAACTAACCATTCACGGACTCATTATCACCATGCGCATGTGCTTTTTTCCTTGCTTCCTGCTGGTGTTCTTCTTTCAGATCCTCGCCGTGAATCCCTGGTATCTGCCGGAGGACAAGCGCAGCAAGTACCTATCTCGAAAACCGGACAAGAAAACAATGAGGGCGCTACTGCCACCTGGTGAAACAACAGAGAGCATAGAGTCTAAGATGAACTTCAAGCAGGTACGCTATACTGTTACATGTATGGAAGCTTCTCTTAAATCAGGGTCCAAACGTATGTACAGTGCCGCTCAATGATATCCAGTTGCGTCTCAAGTTCGCGCAGGCCGTGCATTGCGCAGCCCTAGACCTGCGAAATGATTCAAGACGCATGCTTGAGTGACGTGACTGGATTTCATTGAGCAGCACTGTTGAATGATACCCATGCACGTTTCCACATAGGCATGATTGTGCTACACAATGTGTGTTGCAAGAAAGTGATGAGGGAGTTGCTGTAATAGGTGTATTTATGCCACGACCTGAATACTCACTATTCGTATTTCCCGCTCGTTCCCCTTGGCAATGAGCCACTCACATAGAAGAGCGCATGCTCCAGTTCTGTTCTAGTCTAGTCTGTCGAGTCGTTGTCCTGTTCTCCTTGTCTACACTCTTCTCGAATACTTCTATAAATTATCCAATCATATAAAACCCCTGTGTTCCGGTGTGAGGGGGCATCATTAGCCGGGAGCAGCTAACATTGCCATTGACTGTGTGTGCGCCACTCGCCCTGCTCATGAACCAGTGCCTTTGCTGCACTGTCCTGTCTTATCCCGTGCAGCATTTGCTGACTGCTATGATGTCCTGGAAGGGATAAGCACCGGAGAATCGTCTCACAAGCTGATGATGGAATGGATCATGTGGCACAGTGTACACCAGCAGAAAGGATTTTCTGTGGTAATCATCTGCTGAGTACTTCTGTAGGCTACCTGATTACAGTTGCATCATGCAGTGATGTCATGAGGATGTCATCACACGATGATCATGATGTCATCGTGTGATTGTGTGTAGCCCGCATCAGCACAAGCCGTCCAACGTAGACCCAGCCATGGTCCTAGCCACAGCTGATGGGAAAGTACTGGCACACGTCACGGCACATTGTACAACTATCAAGGCATGACGTCATGATGACATTACTCCTGCTGTCAACCTGCACCATTAGCCTGTGACAGTCGGTAGGAGCTGTCCAAAGTGTCTCGAAACCGTACTCCATTCTCCTGGCTACAGTTGCTGCTAGAGGAGGTAGTAGCCCCATCACACAGAGCGCAAAGGCGTGCAACGACGTGACTGTGTATGAACTTGGTCATAGTCTGTGTCGTTTACAAGCGGTGCCGATTGTTTGGACGAGAGTGAGAGCCGACTGCGGTTCAGCTGGATGTATCATTATTTTGACCCGGTATGCACTTCGCCATTTTCCAATGGAGTGCGGCAGGCATAACGCCTGTGTGCATTGCAAGCTGGACGGGGAGCTTGGACAAGGCACGTCTACGGGTATACGTGGATTTACTGTGATGAGTAGGCATGCAGTGGCCATCAATGCTGATCAGATGTCCTGTAAGCAGCTTGCACGAGAGCAACCTGATATTGTGAGAGATATTGTGAGTGCTTTCCTCACATACCCAATGGTCCGTGTCGTGGTGGTGAATGTAACGATCAGTCGTGGATGTGCTGTGAAGTGTTGAGTGCCTAGTGCAGCATGTGCGGTGGGCTGGAGGGCGTGCAGTGCAGCCACGGTCACAGTTGATTTTCAGTAATGCCATGCATCGATCTGGGTTGAATGGCCAGATCGGGTCCGGTGAGTGCCATGATATCATGGGTGGCCTGTGTCTCTGAAGTAACGGGTTCCTTAAACAAGGATCCTGCCGCTGTGACTCAAGTGTTGACAGGTTTTGAATGGTGTCTCGCTTCAAACTTAGTCTTGCTTCAAGTTACGTATGAGTGGCTTACCACCTTTGGCCGCTCCTGGTATATGCAGTCCCTTGATATCTCAACTTCTACCTACCAGTAGCTAACTGTTACTGCAGTGTCCCGCCACTTTAGTTGACAAACCCCCTCATCTCATTGACCATGGTATTGTATCTTTACCTGTTTTCTGATTATCTCCGCTCTCTTCGGAATGCCTTTCACCAGTAAAATGGCCATATCCCTGCACATACCCACCACGTGTCTGCGTGGTTCCGCATTCTCAACAATAATAATTATTTGTTGTGCATGATAAGCCATACCTAAAAGCACACACACACACACACGCCCAGCACAGTGTCACACGACATCTAGCGTCCACGAACAGCGCTGTACCAACCACGAATCTCATGCAGTGTTATTCTCAAATATCCAAGGCATTTATTATCTCATCATAAATGCGTGAATTCACATCTGAACACAAAACCAAGGGCACGTGACCAAGGGTCAAAGGTCATTCATTGGTCACGTGACCAAAAGGTCAAAGGTCATTCGGCGGGTCGTGACCAAGGGTCAAAGGTCATTCATTGGTCACGTGACCAAGGGTCAAAAGGTCATTCGTTGGGTCGTGACCAAGGGCCAAAGGTCATCATTAGTCACGTGACCAAGGGTCAAAGGTAATATTAGATCACTGGTCACGTGACCAAGGTTCACTGGTCACGCAAGGGTCAAAGGTCATTCATTGGTCACGTGACCACTTTGTACATTGCATGACGGTAGGTTCGAAGGTCATCGGGAGTCCACATCACGTGTATCCCGGTACAAAAAATAGCCAACAATATGTTGATAGGCAGTGGTCTAGCATTAATCGCTCATGAAGAACCCCTACGTTACTCCTTGCTGCACAATTCGTGACCTATCCAGCAGTGACCTTTCCCCTTTTCTGCTCTTCTTCTTCTTTTCTTCTTTTTGCTGGACACAAACCCACGAAGAGCACACCTTGACCTTGACCTTTGACGCCCATCGCCGGAGGCGATGATAGCAATGCTACGGCAGAAGCCATAGCAACTTGTGCTGGGATTGCACCATTCAACAGCTTGCAAGGCTGAAGAATTGACCGTCACTATTCAGCCTGGTCTACACCATACAGCTATTTTGAAGTGACTTTTTCCGGCCAGTGAATCCCTATTTTTGGTTTTTGGCCGAAGAGCACACACACACATACACAGTCACACTGTCACAGCCAAACCAGAAGGCAGTGCTACGAGAAGAACGGGGGGGGGGGGGGGTGCAGGGCTGGCTGGCAGGGCAGGATGAAGAAGAGCATGAAGGTGAGATGGACACATACAGGGAAAAGGTACAGGGGACGGGTGGATGGTAAGTTGTAAGGAGCATATGTGCGCATGGAAGGGGAGCGTTCAAGGGTGAATAAGATTCAGACAATTCTATGATAAAACTCAAGTTCGGAAATACTGTGTCACCAAAGGTGAACAAGAGACAGAAAAAAATATATCAATGCATGAGAATAAGAAGTGATGGTCTATGGCCATGTGATGGGTGACCAATGGCCAAACCGTTGACCTCTCGTAAGATCAGTGTACGGACAACGGCAAAGTGAATGGTCGGAGTAGAGGCCAAGTGCCTTCTACGCTGGAAGAATAGAAGAAACCATCAACTCAAGTGTAGACCAGCTACTTAATCTACACCAAGACTTGCAATTTAAAATAATCTACTTCGAAGTACAAATAATTAACCGGTATGATATCAGTGAGTAAAGTGGCTACTCAAAGAGGGGTTTGTGTGATAATAAAAAAACCTGAGCGTGGTTGCACTTCCGTATCAAAGTTGAAGCAGGGAAGTGCATCAGGATCTTGACAATAAGTATTACCTACTGAAAAAGGCAGCCAAAGGCAGCCAATGCATCAGGATCTTGACAATACGTATTATCCACTGAACAAAGCAGCCAAAGGCAGACAGTGCATCAGGATCTTGACAATAAGTATTAGCCACTGAACAATGCAGCCAAAGGCGGCCTGCTAAAGCCGTGAAGGCTGGTAATCTGGCAAACACGCACCCTCCATACTCGGCCCGGGACAGCGTGAAGAAGCTTTTAACTGGTCCGGTAGTATCATGGCCTCTCATACAGTTTGTGTATGATATAGCTTTCATACAGTTTGTGTATGATATTGCGGGTACACACACATGCCCTCCACAGTAGGAAACACGTGTTGGTGGCCAAAAAGTTGGTCCGGTGTTAACCTGACTAACCATACCGATTCTGTCGGGCCTGATACCAACTTACAGTTCTGATCCGGTACCAAGGATACTCCGTCCAGAGCACAATCTGCACATACACGTAACTCATTGCTCAATCTCAGACAAGCAGGGTTTGCTCAGCACTGGTCCGACTTGTACACGCTCCAGGCTACTGCTGCACAGCACGATCAGGTGTGTCGAATTTGCCAATGTGAGTGCTGTGGCACAACCATCAGTGATGCTACCATGCCGCGTGTACTGGACGTTACTGAATCTAGCAGCAGGCCATAGCAGTGAAGACGTAGCGGTGAAGACAGTACTCAAAGTTGGCCTATGTACCCTGAGACGATAGCATGGGCTTGCCAACACGCATACTCCAGGTCGTCAATAACTACGGCGATACGTCTTGGAGAGAACGTCAAGCAGCATGCCTTGGACAAAACACAACTTAGCTTGCATGTTTGCTGCCATGCTGTACTGAACGATACTGGATCTGGCAGCAAGCCATAGCAGTGAAGACAGCACTCGCAGTTGGCCTATGTCCGAGACACGAGCATGGGCTTGCCGACACGCATACTCCAGCTCGTCAATGTCCACTAAAAGTCGTGGACATACCGTCAAGCATCATGTTCTCACCAAAACAGCTCAGCTTGCTTGTGCTGGTAGAGTGTCCTTCTCCTCCTCCTCCTCCTCCGCAGGCAGCTTCTTCGAACTTTTTTCGGCTTTGAAAATTCCCGGAATGGCGAAGGGCGATCCGCTATCCTGCGCCTCCGGGGTTATGATGGTCTGCGGAATGAGTTGAATGGGCTTGCATGCCAGGAATCGTTTGATTCCTTCTTGACCTTCACGGGATCGCCATCGCTCCACCAGGGTATCGCATTCTCCCTTGTTGACCGCTAGCAGCATTTCTCTGTCGTAGGATTTCATCAGCTGACGTGACGACAGAAGAGTCTACATAGAGAGCAAGAGGACATGCACGTGCGTGCACACATGCACATGCGTGCAGTTACACACAAGCACGCACATGCAAACGTACACGCGCACGAATACACACACACACACACACACACACACACACACGCGCGCGCGCGTGCGCGCATGCACGCACGCAAACACATGCACGCACACACACACGCACACACACGCACACACACACACACACACACACACACACACACACACACATACATACACATACATACACACACAAACACACACACACACCGAGTTGAGAAGATCAGCCACCCCCAGCGGGAACAGGGCAGCAGCAACAGCAGCGACATTGGCAGCAGCAGAATTAGCAGTAGAAACAGCAGCAACAGGAGCAGCAGCAGCAACAACAGGAGCAGCAGCATTATCAGCCGCAAGAGCACCAATAGCAGGTCTACTACACACCCATCACATCACACCACATCACATCGCATCACACCACATCGCATCGCATCACATCACATCACACACCCATCACACACCCATCACGCACCCATCACACACCCATCACACACCCACCCATCACATCACACCACACCACACACCCATCACATCACATCATATCACATCCACTGACAACAGCCACCTGAAGGGCAGCTGCATCTTACCTGCATTGGCAGTGTGGACATGAGGTAGAGAACTCGCTCCAACACATGACTCGCCTCAGTGTCATCCATTACGAACGTCACAATGCCATGCCGCTGTGAATCCCGTACCAGATGCCTGGCACCGCGTAGCAACATATCTGCAGCCTAGATGAATACACCACCATGAAACACAATCGTGTGTTACCATGGTTATAATCCAGCTATTTGAATGTATAGTGCACCCACAGTAAGGTCATACAATGTTAGGTGACTGGCACATCAGGACATGTTTTCAGTCAAACCAGGGGTGTCGGAAGGTATTTTTGGTTGGGACGGTCAGCCCACTTTTTCGTATCATTCTTTCGTTGGATTGGGGTGGCTCCTCTGAAACGTTTCGCAGATTTAGACCCCAGATCAGGGCTTTTGATTGATTCACAGGGTACCCAGGACGCAAAGTGGTACGGTCAATACCGCAGTGACCGTAGGGTGTCCGACACCCCCTGCAAACAATCAGATATTGACATCAACAAAGGCCCAGTTACATTCGGGAGAGAGATACCGAGTCGCATGCTCTCGGCAAGAGGAAGCTGGGAGACAGTGTGCGTGATATATTCACGATGGAACGTATGCATCAATTTCCCGCCGTTAGGATTCGCGGGCCGAGTCCACTACAACTGCACACACCGTTTGATATCAGCTCTGCATAAAAGGTTATGAACTTTGGGAGGTCATACTCAAAAATATACTATAACAGGTTGTACCTGCCAAGTATGGGGTAACTTGCCCTGCAAAAAGGTTACGGCCATCTTAGATGCATACCTCCTATTGCTCCTGCAGGATGTAATGTGAGTTTGACAATTGCAGTCAGTATACTATTCAGCACTATGCTAAAACCAGAGCATTACGCCAAGGTACTATAACATCACAGGAAATACGACACGAAAGTACAGGTGACATCTTACCACTGAATTCCCCATCATCCTGGGAAATGTGTACGAAGCACAGCCCAGTGCACTCATGCCAAGCTGCTGGTCAGGAACATGTAGTGTGATCTGCATATAGACAACACGGCACATTGGACAAGCAGGGGTGAGCAGACACACACGCAAGCATGCCCAAACACACACACACACACATGCATATGCACACGTGCACACAAACACACACACACGCAAACGCACAAACGGCCATACGTACAGAGGCAAACACACAGCATTGTTTCCAGTCAACCGTTAAAAAGTCTAGAAAGGACAACAATTACCCGCACAACTACATGCTAAAGGCTCTAAATTTACACTCCAGGACAAGGAACCATTTACACTCCAGGACAAGGAACTCCAGGACAAGGAACTCCAGGACAAGGAACTCCAGGACAAGGAACTCCAGGACAAGGAACCACAGACGGCCGCACGTGTATACCAACAACATCACATTCCAGTCGGGTGATTTTAAAGTCCCGCATTACTACTATACATGACCGGATTTTACTAGCATTGGCTGAATAGAATCCATACTTCATCTGTGTGTGTGTGTGTGTGTGTGTGTGTGTGTGTGTGTGTGTGTGTGTGTGTGTGTGTGTGTGTGTGTGTGTGTGTGTGTGTGTGTGTGTCCACGAACACATACAGTGCATGTACGTAGAAGTTAACGTCCACAGGACTGCGGGCTAGCATTGCTTCTCACCCCTCTGTTATTCATTCCACAGCAATCCTCCAACACAGACCTTTCGCACATTCACGCAGATAAAAGACAAGCACGATTCAAATTCTCCCAATGCTATCTGGAGTCGTTGACAAAGATCTGCAGTAGAGCAGTGTTCATACGAGTTCATGCTGATTTATTCGCCGGCAGCCCCAGGTGTGTGTGTGTGGGGGGGGGGGGGGGTACATGTACACGCTTCGGTGCAAAGTGCGAAAGATCTCTAATATCAACACAAGTCTCCCTTAGGGGTCGTCGCAAAAGTTTCCTGTCGTCCCTGAAACGAACATTGTTCATTTTGAACTCGGACCCCTCCCCTCCCTCTGAAACGAACGCAGCTTGCTCTGCTGGACGACGAAAGTCGAATGCATGTACATGCCATAGTGCACAGTATCGGTCGACTTGCGATTTCGGCTCCCCCCCCCCCCCACGAATGATGTTCGTTTCAGGGACGACAAAAAACGTTTGCGACTACCCCTTAGTTCGTCTTCTCACCATAGTGCTGGCAAACACAAGGTCACACAGTGCAAGAGTTGTAGCTCCCAGTCCCACCGCTGAACCATTGACTGCGGCGATTAGTGGCTTGCTGCACGTGATGAAGCTTGCAACATACTCCCTAGTATGAGAGACAAGAGTATGCATAGAGCAGGCACAGAACGCACACAAGCATGCACACACACAAACATGTACGTACGCACACACACACACACACACACACACACACACGCACAACACACATGCGAGCGCACACACACAAACACGCACACACACACACACACACACGCAAACACAATGGGCATTTGCTTCACAAGGATGAATTACACAGTGCAAAGCAAGCCGAGGTACAAACACGAGAGCAACTACTGTGCCTCCGCAGTTCATAACAGCCAGGCAAAACACAGGTCTTCTGTCTCCATCTACTGCAATGCCACGTATAAAAAAACAAAAAACAGGCCTATTCCTCAGTGGTAGACTTCTATTCAAGTCAGGATTCTATTCGAACCAGGTATTGCTTTGTATGTCAGGACTAAAGCCAGGTTTATGGGCCGCCAGTTCGTCTCGAAAATCAGTCTTGCATTCAAAACCGGCTTCTATACGAGACCGGCTTTCTAAAAGACTGCAGTACGCAACATACAGAGCAATAACCTGCCTGAGAAGTAACCTGGTGTGGAATGACAAAAGCAAACTGAACGCAGGGAGGACAACCTCGCAAAGGGCACAACACTTTCACGGCAAAGAACGTTAAATCCAGCGCGAAAGCATCACCACCACTAGCACCCTGCAAGAGGAGAGCTAGCTGAAGGTGAGCTGCGTGTCACAGCAACACATCTTTATTTTATGTATTTTCTGTTCTTACATCTTCACACAACAAATAAACCAATGCCACAGTGCTACATAAGACTATGGCATGCTTGGTGACAACGCCAGCGCAGCACAGCTGTGATGCTGTTACGCAGTACCCAGTGCTACACACAAGACCACGGGAGACTTGGCGACAACGCTAGCATAGCACAGCTGCGATGCTCTTCAACAGTACTTTTCAACGACACAAGACTACGGCAAGACTTGGCGACAGCCCTAACTAACAAAGTGTCACTTACTCAATAGCCGTTCTGTATTCGAACATCCTGGCTTCCCACTCCGCTTTGCTCTCCCCGGGTTTCTGCAAGACACTTGCCAGCATGTCTTTGTCCAGACCAGTGCAGAATGTCTCTCCCTCGCCGGTCAACACGGTGGCAAACACATCCTCATCGTCGGCGGCCTTCTGTAGCAGCCTGGGCAGTGTGCGTAGCATGTCCAGCGTGAGAGAGTTGTCACGGACCGTGTGATTGAACCAAATCATCTGCACGCCATCGTCAATCTCCTCGTGGAGAAACTGCCAGCAAAAAGAAAGAAGAGCGAACATGTTCTACAATAGACGGAAGTACAGAAGTGGGGAGATGATTTCTTAAAAACACAAAACAAGACTCATCAGTCCTTAGGATGCTCACAAACAAACAACTCAAATGATGATGGATCATACAATTTCTATAGTCTCTTTTAAAAAATCATACCTGCATTGAAAAAAATTCCAGGAAACCTGAGGTACATGTTCCGTTCGTGGGGAAATCCCCAGCCATAACTCCCTGCTCACCTTTTCACCAGTGTTGCTTGAAGTCGAGCCGACAATGTACGCATCGCTGCCGCTGACCTGCAGCTGTTCCCGACGCTCGGCGAACATTGCCCGACCATCACCCAGTGTACCTCGTCTGTACGGCCGCGCCTCACCGTTCTCATCGGAATTCTCCCACAGCTGTGTCACGATGCGAATGTACTCGCCACGCGCTCCTTCCTGCATGGATCGGGAACAAAACACACGTCCACACGCACACACACACACACACAAACACACACACACAAACACATACACACACGCACACACAAAACTGTCACCGGGGCTGGAAAATGTCCCTGGGGTGGTCAAACGTCCGGGGGGGGGGGGGGGGATAATGTCCCCGGGGTGGGCAACAGTGTCCCTGGGGTGGGCAACAGTGTCCAAGAGGTGGGCAACAGTGTCCCAGACGTGGGCAACAGTGTCCCTGGGGTGGGCAACAATGTCCCTGGGGTGGGCAACAGTGTCCCTGGGGTGGACAACAGTGTCCTAGAGGTGGGCAATGGTGTCCCTGGGGTGGGCAACAGTGTCCCTGGGGTGGGTACTGCATGTAGGCATGCAAGAAGCCAGACTAAGCACACGGAAAGAATAGACAACTAGCCATTGTCTCTCTCAGATTCTTCATCTGTAAAACCAGCTCAACAGCAGCATATGGCCAAGAGCATTACGCAATGCACTGTTACCATGACTGTGCACATCAGTACTACAGCCGTGATGTACAATGCATGACTACCACATTACCCCCCTTCCCTAAGAAAAAAAAATTGTCTGCAAATGCAAACCTGTTTGAGAAAAAAAAAGGAGAGAAAAAAAGGAAAAAGAAAAAAAGGAGAAAATTGCAGAGGAAACGAGCAAAGAATCAATTCAAAGCAACAAATTCGATACACCCTGACACTGACGGGTCAACTCACTGAAGATACATCAAACCTGTACCACGATACAAACAGAACAAACCAAACCAGCAACTAAATCGCAAATTGGCATAGTTATGCAACATGGTCAGTCAAAATGGAGATATTACATCAATGCACCAGCAGCTTTCTCAGTGAGCTTGACAGTGCGGCCAGCGCGGGTTACATAGCCCTCGCGATAGAGCGAGCCAGACTGGGCATCGGGCCGTGGTAGGCGTGATTGACGACGTGATTGGTCACTGGACTCGGGATGAATCTGAGCATCAGCCTCTTTGATCTCAGATTCCACTCCTGCTTCACACGGAGCAGTAGGCGTAGCAGGCGGCACATCTGCATTAGGTGCCGAGGATTTCACTTCTGACTCGGTAGCTGGCTGGGGATCTGGCGTCGGAACTGGCTGGAGATCCAAAGACCGAGAAGAGGTGGCAGTTGATGATGCAGGTGAAGCATGTTCTCGCACATGCTGCCGATTTCGGAGCAGTATCCGCCTGCCATCAGTGACGCCGACTTGTCTGCCATATTGCTCCACAACACGCCAAGGGGTAGTTGGGTCGGAATAGCCATCCTGCAAGACTACCATTGTGCCAGGACGCAGCATAGGCAACTGGCGGACACCGCGGCGACTATCATGCGAGACTGCCATGTCAGCTTTGGCGCGAATCTGATGAGAAGCATTCACAATGCGTGGGGTAGAATGGTGAGGTAGACGGGTGCGAACCATGCGACCGAAGAAAGCCTCATTGGGTGACATGCCCAGCATTCGGTGCACTGAGTTGCGAATATCAAAGAGAACTTGTTGCAAACGGCGTTGCAAAGACAGGGACGGTCGTAGAGATTGAATTCTCTCTTTGACGACTCGATGAAGACGTTCCACCATGCCATTAGATCTGGGGTAGCGTGGGCTTGATCGATTGTGCTGGATACCCAACCGCTGCAGGAACTGGGCCATTTCGGCTGAGGCAAACTGGGGGCCATTGTCGGACACCAACACGCTAGGCAGGCCGAACCTCGCGAACACTTCCATCAGCCGGTCAATGACAGCTGCGGTTGTGGTAGCTGACAAGGGAAGTAGCTCCGGATAGCGTGAACCGTAGTCGACGATGGATAATACTTGTTGACCCTCGATACACACCAGATCAACCGCCAGTTTCTGCCACACTCCTTCAATTTCTGATGGCAGCAGCTCTTGTGCGGGGTTTGTATGACGGCGCCAACACTCTGAACACTGCTCGGCGAACTTGTCGGCATCTTTAGACATGCCGGTCCACCATACTCGTCGTCGCAAAGCATCCTTGAATATGTCCCGACCTGGATGACCTTCATGGGCCAACTGCAGTACGGCATGTCGGAGAGCTTCTGGTATTACACAGCGGTTACCGAATAGCAGGATGCCGTCAATGGTCGTCAGCTGATCTCGAATAAGGTAGTATGGCTCTTCAGCGGGTGTGACTTGGGACCATGATTGCATCAAGACGCGCTGCTGTATGCTGCGCAACAGTGGGTCATCACTAGTCGCCTTGGCGATATCGTCGATATTGACTGGGCACTCTTCCAAGACCAGGCCAATGAACTCAGCCATAGAGCGGGCTTCTTCTGGTGAGGCAGTTGAGTCTTGGACAGGCGCTCTTGACAATGTGTCTTCACACACCATCTGCTTCCCAGGTGCATGTGACAAGGTGTACTGGTATGGCATGAGAGCGACCATCCAGCGCTGCAGCCGTGGTGGTACTTCGTCAAACGGCTTCTGGACGATTGAGATCAGGGGCTTGTGGTCGGTCACAACTTGAACAGATCTCCCCAGGACGTACTGTCGGAATCGAGTCAGAGAGAATACGATACCAAGCATCTCGCGCTCCAACTGGGAATAACGAGATTCAACATCGGACAATGAACGGCTGGCGCAGGTGACAGGTAACCAAGTGCCACTCTTGTCTTGCTGCCACAGAATAGCACCCAGACCAAGTGGAGATGCGTCACATGTTACCTTGGTTGGGACGTCCAAGGATGGCTTAAAGTACGCTAAGCACTCTAGCGACGAGGCCACGGCTGTCTTCGCATCGGTGAACGCGGCCGTCAGCTCATCATCAACGACGAATGGTTGTCGCTGAGCCAGTTTCCTCAGCGGCTCAGTTGTCTGTGAGAGCTGCGGTATGAATTTACCAAGGTACGTCACCATACCAAGGAAACGACGTACATCTGTCAACGTCTGCGGCAGCTGCAACTGTTGGATTGCCAGCAGCTTGTCACCGTCAGGACGCACACCATCCTTGCTCAGCCAGTGTCCCAAGTACTTGATTTCTGACTGGCGTACGCGACACTTCTCCCAGTTTAAGCGCAGGTTGGCTTCGCTCAAACGACGGAGTACGGCAGCCATGCGCTCGTCGTGTTCCTGTCGGTTGCGGGCATAGATGAGAATGTCATCAATATAGACAACGACTCCCGGTAGGCCGGCAAGGATGTCAGACACCACACGTTGAAATATCTCCGGTGCGCAAGCAATGCCAAACGGGAGTCTCTTGAATCTAAAGAGGCCCTTGTGAGTGGCGAAAGTGGTGAACGGACGAGATTCATCGGCCAAAGGGAGCTGGTGAAAGCCAGATTCAGCATCCAGAACGGAGAACACTGTTGCACCGTCCAGCTGCGCATTGATTTCGTCAACGGTGGGAAGTAGGTGACGCTCCCGGACTACGCTCTTGTTTAGGACGCGGTAGTCCACGCAGAGACGCAAAGCACCGCTTGATTTCCTGACCGGCACCAACGGTGAGACCCACGGAGTAGCTTCTCGCACTGGCTCGATTATGTCATGCTTCACCAGACGATCCAACTCCTTGGCAATTTCATCCCGGATGCTGAAAGCGTGCCGACGGGGTGGGAGTGCTGTTGGAGTGGTGTCAGGGTCCACTGTGATAGAGATGGGCGTCACGTTCACCACATTGACTTCAGCAGAGGTCAGCAACTCCAGTTCGGAGATGACGTCCTGGCCATACAGGATTTGGCGGCCAGACGCGACTGGGACAACAAAACAACTACATACGATGCTGCGTGATCCAACAGAGACCGTCACATCAGCCATACCGAGTGTTGAGATGACGCCGCCATTGTACGCTTTCAAGATTCGATCACTCTTTCGCGTTGGCTGGACAACATCATCGGTTAGCACTGATCGGGTAGCATGACTGTGCACATCAGTACTACAGCCGTGATGTACAATGCATGACTACCACACTGCACACCATAACGATGACGAAGAGTTTCTCACCTTAGTTACACCTTTCAACAGGTCGGCTGCATCGTTCATCACATTGTGCACAAGGGGACCGATATGACTCTTCTCGTGCGGAGTTTTCTGATTACCCTCCATTGCCTGAAAGCATAAATTAACCGGGCACAACACAAGCAGACATGCACAGGACAGCTCAAGTCTTCTTCCCCTACGGCCCAGCACAGAGATGCCGTGCTCTGAAGATCATAGTGTAGTATGGGTAATTTACCACACGTAATGACTATACAGTCAAACCTTTCTCCATGCACCGACAGTTCTACACAGATACTGTGGGACCTGGTTCTAAAGACCACCTGGCTTTTTTAACGACCGCTTTTGCTTGCACCATGGGGTGGTCGCTTAAACCAGGTTTTACTGTACAGTATACACATACATGTAAACACCGTACACTGTAGGTGTCCATGGCAAGCTGGGCGCATACTCGCACTGTCTGCCGTTGTCTTCTTCTCCTGCTTGTGAATGGATGAACAACAACTTACAATTCGTAATAACCATGTGCCGTGAGAGCGTTGAGAGTGTGAGTGCTACAATGTTAGGCCATGCCGTTTTTTTCTATGTTTCGCGTCACCTTATTCGATGAAATCAATGAGGGAGGGCGAAAAAAATTTAAAAAAGCCATCCAAAAAAACAGTGTACGTGCATTGCATTTGTGTACAGTGAAGCGACGCAGCACTGTTCATGTACATTGACATGTACATGAGCGCATCCCCTCTGCCATGCTTGTGGTCCAAACACAGGCGGCATGATGATTGTGTGACTTGCGGCCCACACACACCTGTAACGATGTACATGTGTGTGAGCTGAGTACAATCATGCGGTACTAAGTTACAAAAAATAGTAAATAGAACAAATATTTAATTGATGCCAACATAATAGTTATGTGTAACAATCATGTTCCGTTTTTTTCTCCTTTTGGGTTACATTTTCAAAAAAAAAAAATTGTTCCGTTTATTTTTTTTTATTTTTTAACTCCGGCTGTGAAATACATGCGCGCGGGGGACGCGAAACACAGATAAAAAACGGTGTGGCCTTACAATAGGATGAACCAATTTCGCCCAAGGAAGTTGTTTGCTCTCATCCTCCAAAGCACACGAGAAGCCCGCGTACTCGTATTCCTCATGACTCGAATAATGTAGAGCAATGCTGTTATTTCAACAAGGGCTGCCGAACGACGGCTCGAACGGGCTCGGCTATTATTCGTTTCCAAAACCAAAAGAAGGGCTGCATTCAAAAACAGGTTGAGCCGCGCTTCTGAACATGCATACTTTCAATAGCTTTAGTCTAGAAGTTAGAGCATGCTGACTTTGATGCTTTGAGCCGATTTAAAAAAATGTGCTCTGTCGTTCACTCTAAACTTCATTGCGATCGGCTCAGCCCGTCATTCTGATCCCAGCTCTAGCTCACTGTGGGTTGTCTTTCACTAGCCTATGATTCACGTTGCTGTTTTCCAGCCAAAGCCTAAACCATCATTCTACAGCATGACCGTGTCAGTCACGCTACTACTGTCACTACGGCATTGGCCAGGGAGGACTAAAGTATCCCGGCTTGTATTGACCGTACCGCTTCTCAGTTATCGTTAGCACCTGTGTTTTTTTCTCTCCAAATAATCGACGTGGAGACAACAGTTTTAACCCTTTGTGTACGGACTGTACAACTTTCGATCCCCTGGGATCGAAACTTTTCAAATTTTCAATCGATCGTAACTCAGTTATTTCTGGGTTATTTCCAAAACCTAAATTATGTAGGTCGAAGAGAAAACTCCCAGCTGTCCATTGAAACAATCGCAGAAACACTCCGATGTGCGGTTCCAGAGTTACGAAGCTCGAACGTCAAATCGCGGCAATTGTCGCTCAATAGCCGCGTGCGCAGATTTGAATGAGGGATTTCCCCATCTTTCTGGGCATCTAGTGACGTAGAAACACATTCAAAATAGCAAACGGACTCGTGGCAGATGGCGAAATATTTTGGAAGTAAAAATTAGTTGTTACAAGCAAGGAGAGCGAAATGGCTGATACAAGACGACTTCTGTCGGAATATTGGCGTTGCAACTAAGACGCTAGGTTGTAGCGCTGGAGTTTTGACCTTCGTGGTGGCAAGTGTGGGCTGAATGTGTTCCTCTTGCGACGAGCTTTCCAGGAAGCTCAAGATTGAAAAAATCGTCAAAAGGAGACCATAGTTATGACCCGGAAAATTATGGAATTTGAGGCGAGTCGAGATCAAATTCAGTCTGCGTACATATTTTCAGTACATAAAGGGTAAAAAAACAGTAAAGAGAACAAATTCTGCCGTCATCGCCACACAACAACGAAGTCATGACCTTGAAAGTTTTCCAAAATCGATTTTCATATCGATTTTGGAAACATTTCATGACTCCGTTGTTGTCTGGCGATGACGGCGAAATTTGTTCTCTTTATTGCTATTTTAGAATTGTTGTCTCCACATCGATTATTTGGATAAAAAAATAGGTGCTAACGATAAGAAGCGGTACGGTCAATACAAGCCGGGATACTTGTTTTTTGTTTGTTTTGTTTGTTTGTTTTTTTGAACGAAACGTGCTGAATATTATTGACTCTGAATTTGAAATGGGAGGGCTCCGGAATGGCACCAGCAACAATGGCTGCTGACCGTGCCGTACTGATATGCATGTGCCTTCCGGCGACACTACACTGCCGGGGTTGCCATCCTGTTTGAATGTGCAAAGGAAAATTAGAATGGACTCGGAGAGCCAAGGATGAATTTATAGAAAAGAAAAAAGGACCAAGGAACTACAAGTTACGCGATAATGCTGATTGTTTAGTAACTGATGGTGTTTAATAGTGGACATTATGGCGTAACTTGTAGTTTCTTGGTCCTTTTTTCTTTACTATAAAAACTAGGATCTGAGGCAATCAATCAAGGATCGAAATTTCTTTCCACAGCTTGGCTTCAAAACCGATAGTTCACTGCACTGATTCTGGTTCTGCATAAGGTGATGAGCAGAATTATGCAATGACTTTTAACTTCGGATTTTTCCGCCATTTAACCGTAAATTAGCCGTCGCCGATTCATTGCAGCCCTGATTTCAACCTACTTAGTACTTGTGCTGAGTGCCCCAGTACGGCCGTTCTTGGTATCCCGTTCTCAGTGGGCTCTTTTCTCATGTTTCAAGTTTATTGTACCCAATGCAGTGGTGCCATGTGACTGTGAATGCCCCCCCCCCCCCCCCACACACACACACCTTGACAGAACTCGGGATTTGTCAGCATTGCGAAACGCTCACCTGGCGGTACAGCGACTTCAGGATTACAGCCATAGCCGGGTCAATCTGCCTGTCTGGATCCATGGCACGGAGCCGTTGCTGGGCAAGGTAGAACTCTTCATCCCCACGACCGAGGCCCAAGCCCAGGCGACCTTTGAACGCTAATGCTGTCGAAGTGTGTATCCAACGTCGCCCCGCAAAATGTCTTCTGCTTCGAAAATGTCTGCAGCTCAAATTAGATCTGGCATATTGAGAAACCTTAGGTGACACGAGCCTCCTCCACATAGTTGCTTCCAAACGATACAACTCGCCTAATTGCTCACACCAGAAGAGAAGAAGATTTCTGTATTTTTGTTTGAAACCTGGTCATTCCTTTGGTCAGAGCCTGTTCCCTTCACTTTCTCCACCACTTCACTGGGCCGCGACACTCTACTTCTCTATAGCTCTAGTCTCTGGCTATTGCCTATTCCAAACTCTCCGCGTAGCTAGTAGAGTTCGCGAAGTCGCTAGTGAAGGGATCAGGAAGAGGGTGTCATACAAAACCCATGACTGTTTCTTCATTCTTTTTTTGCAAGTGCATTTGGGTTTGTTTTTTTGATCGAGCGCATCGTGCACGTGCGCGTGCGGCACGTGAAGATACGCGTACGACGACCACTCGATCGATCGATGTCATGGCGTTGTGCCTAAAAAGTAAAAGGCGCAGCTCTCGAGATCTGAAGGGAAATTTTCGTCCAGCCCCTGATCTTGTTTTCTATTTTTTCTTGTTTGGTACTTGTGGAATAGTAGCCTGGCTTGATGATTGAGTAGACTATTGTGTGTACAGTCGTGTAGGATCCCATAGCCAAGGGTTAGTTACTGCTGGCAATTTTGGCTGCATCGCTGAGTTCTTGAGCTTCTGTCTCCTAGGAAATTGCTAGATCTAGGGTTTTGCATTCCATCTGTCGAGTACTGAATTCTGCATTATAATAATTATTGTGAATTAAATTGTAGAGAGAATGTTGAGAATCGTGCCTATATTAGCCCAGTGAATATCCAGCAGTGAGCAGTAGATTTTTCCTATAACTACTGTATCAGGAGGGAGCGAGTGTGAAGGATGAGCGTGCTTGTTTGGCGCACGGCTGCTCGCGTGGTCCACATTCATCGAGCCACTGCCTTACTGGCAACAGCCTCGCCATGTGGTGATCACTGCGCCCCCTCACCTGACATTGTTGGACTCGCGAGTAGGTTCAGCTCCCCATGCCAATTGCCTTATCATGTCGCGAGGCGCACAAGCTCCACATCCACCAGCAACGCATATCAAATACTATTCCCGTCCACCGTGAAAAAATTCCAAAAACTCTACCCGGCACAAGCTGGCGTGTCGCAACTAGACGAGATTCTGCTTTCGCTCGGTCTCGGGAAGAAGTGGTCGGCTCTGTCGCTTGTCTTGGCTCTACCCAGTGCTGGGAACGTGGAGTGCTTGCAGAAACTGATGTGCCTGGAGTTGGCGCGCAGTGACGATCCGGAAATTGCGGCCTGGCAGCTAGCCGAGCTTGCCACTCCGTTTCCCGCTGTGTTTGCCCTGATGGCTCAGTCGCACGAGTTCATGCATCACTTCTATCAGACGTTTCGCAAGGACGCAAAGCTGGCCGGCCTGACGGACGCGCAGTTCGGCTGCGGCCTGGTGTTGCTGCTGCACACGACGGACCACCAATGGCTGCACTCGCTGTTCAAGCAGCACTCGATCAACCTGGGCGCGCGAGTCATGGCCGTGGAGAGCCCGGCCGCTTGCCGCGGCCTGATGAGCCTGATCTGTGTGCTGCCGCGTGTAACTAAGCTCACCCTGGACAGGTACCTGATCACATATCTACTGGGCGCCGTGGCCAGGCTGTTGCCACGCGTCGACCTGGCCGAGTTTGCGTCCGACTCGCTGCTGTGCCGCGAGGTGGCCGACGCAGCCTGTCAGCTGGGACTGCGGCACGGCGAGTTCCTGGACGCGTTCCGCGAGCACGTGGAGCTGGTCACTCCGTCCGAGGACTTCTGGTCACCATCGTACGCAGGGCACGTTCTGTATTTGTTTGCCTGGATGCAGCATCCCGCCGGCAAGCTACCCGCTCTGTGGAAGGGCTGTTACGACTCGCTGCCGGAGAACTCGAGTCGCTTTCGCACGGCCAGCCCGACGGTGCTTCTGCGCCTGTGCTGGTCGTTCGTCGCCATGGGTTACGAGCTGCCGCGCTGGTTGTCGCGGCAGACAGGCAGGGCGGTTGCCTTGGAGATCCGCACGTCGGGGCGTGTTGATTGGATGTACGCCGAGCTCGCCGCTCAGTGCCTGCCGCACATTGAGAGTGACGTTGACCTGGGAGATGGCGACGAGCTGGCCCGTCTCGATACCGACATACGGCACACAGCAGCCGCCGATAAGCTCTGGTCCATGGAGCTGCTGGCTAACTCACCTGTGCAGCACGTCGGCGGCTTGTTCTGCATTGCCGTTAGCGACGACGGGGTCCTGCTGCCCTGGCCCAGGACGCACGACCCCCTCGCCTTGACGGCCGCTGTTGCCGCGATGCTGCCCTGCAAGCCGGTAGCGCTACTCATCGAGAACGTGCACTACTTTCACGCGGACGGCACCCCGGCCGCTGCCCTCGTGCGGCGCAAGCTCGAGCTTGAGCTTCTCGGCTGGAGTGTTGTTCACGTTGAGTTGGCGAAGAAAGCAACGCAGAATATTGTGTCGGAGTGCGAGAAGGCTATCCGTATGCAACTCTTCACTGAGAAAGAGTGACGGACCCTGCCACGCACTCACGCGTACCACGCACATACACACGCACGCAAAACTTATCGCAGTCACAGCAGCATTGTGTTCAGTGGTGAAGCTGGACACCTGTGTGCCGTCCCGTGCAGGAGAATCACAGGCCGTGTGCCTGCCAGACTGTGAGTGTGTCTGTATTTAATTTTTGGACCCAGGGAGAAAGAGCTGCAACCACCATGGCACGCACTTGCTATCCTTTGGCAAGGAGTCTGTGAGGAAGTTGTTATGAGAAAGGCGTTCGACTCGGTGTCACATTTCATCGTGGTAGTCCTTGATGCAGTGGCTGAAGGAAGCACGCAACTAACCAGTCATCTTGCATTCTTCCTGCTGCTCCCGGGCAGAAATAATCGTGCGTGTCCATGTGTTCCCGGTGGCAATGCTGTCACCAGTGACATCGTGACAGTTAGCTGATGATCCACGTGTGCATCTTGTCTTGCCACGTAGCACTGATGTTGCTCCCGGCCTAGGCCTTCTTCTTGCCGGTCATGGCGAGAGTTTGAAACTCGAGAAGAATTGAGAGTCGACCTGCGCACACACATGTGTACTGTTTTAAATGAGTACTGTTATATTACAGCAACTGCAGGTGTAAGCTGTTGCGCTGCCCGTATTTATACTGGATTACATTGTGCATAACACTGTGTATGCAGGCATTTGCAGTTGGCACTGCTCACAATCTGCTCACCCATTGCTCAAATTGTGCTCATACACTGCTCAAGATGCACGCATTTAGCTAGTAGGTTAGTGGCTGGTCCATGGACGTTTTGTGCATATGCTTCTGTTATAAAGATTGTGTTTCTATTGTTTCATACACTGCTTGGGCAGGCTGGTCCATGCAGAGCCGTTTTGAAAACGTTTGAAGTCAAGAGATTCAGCTGACAGTACGTGATGTGTGCTTGGCTAGCTGACAATATTAGCATGTGATGGGTGCTTGTCTCGATCTGCTCTAGGTTTGGCAAAGACTTTGTTGCCACTGAACTACAATCGGACATCCTCTATTCGGCTTCCTCCCGGCCAGGCGAAGAATAATCTAGACAGTCTCTACTGCTTTATTTGGCACATCACTCGTGTGACGCGAGAACATAATTTTCATTAATTTCCGTAACATGACCAGACAGGCAGACACTCTTCACCACGCAGTAATACAGTGTTGATCAATGAAACCCAGTCACGTCACTCAAGTCTGCGCCTTGCACCATTTCGCAGTCCAATGTTCGCAGGTCTAGGGCTGCGCAACGCCCGGCGCTTACTTGAGTGACGCGATTGGATTTCATTGAGCCAGCACTGTACAACACCACTCCATGCTGCATGAGCACGACCAAGAGTAAGAGTGTGCAACTCCAGCTATGGGGTCTGGCTGGTTATGTACTCTTGGTACGACTGTGGTGCAAAGCTGTAGTGTGCTGCAACTCCGGAGTTTTATGCTCGGACATGTCAAGGGTCTTCTTCTTCTTGGTGGCCATGCCAGGCGCTGTGATGACTGCCTGCAATACAGTATAGTTCTGGTGTTGGTCTGGATCATTCCGATTTGGGTTTGTAATTGCGTGTGTGTGCGTGCATGTGTGAGTGTGTGTGTGTGCGTGCATGTGTGAGTGTGTGTGTGTGTGTGTGTGTGTGTGTGTGTGTGTGTGTGTGTGTGTGTGTGTGTGTGTGTGTGTGTGTGTGTGTGTGATCATTTTCCAAGTCCACCGAAAGTTCTGGGGTTTCAGGTGGTGTCGGCCGTTGGGCGGTTCAATAGCCAATTGAGTCATCTTTCCAAGATTAATTCCTTTTCAGTCTCTCTCTCCCCTCTCCAGCAGCACCAGAGCATTGATTATCCGGACACCGATTGCCCGGACTATTGACTTTCTGGAATACAGCATTGACGCTGCTTCCATGGCCATCAATGCATGTAAGAACTATCATGTTTTTCGATTTTGACAGCTTGTACCCTTGTTAACATGCTGTCGAAATCGAAATACATGTTAAACTACCAAGCAAGGCTTCTGTGTAGATAAGAACTACTAGTATCATTGTACAGTCAGACCTCGCTTATCCGCTCCTCTTTTATCCGGATCCTTCGCCACCCGGAAGAAAATCGTTGGTTACCGATTTACAGCATATGTCATGCATACATACAGTGTGTGTGTGTGTGTGTTCGATTATCCGGTTCCCTCGCCTATCCGGATATTTATGTGGGGAACAGATGTGTGCGGTTATGCGAGGTCTGTCTTGGTAGTACTGGCCAGAGAAAGCCAACCTCATGAATAAAGTACATGTAGTGTCGCATTCGAGTGCACAGACCAGTGTGTGTAGTGTTAGGGCTGCGTGGCGCCCGGCAACGCTATTTTATTCATGAGGTTGGGTTTCCTTGGCCAGTACTATAGTCTATGTATGATCTTGCATTGATTAGGAAACTGTATGGCATGCATGTACATGTATGAGTACATGTACCAGTCTAGACATGTATCAGTGACTCTCTCCATATCCGAACCCGCCCTGAACGGTGTCTGACCCGGACGGTTCGGGCAATCGATGCTATTGCAGTACATGCACTTGGTAGCAGATATAGCATACACAAAGTCATGCACGCATGCGCACGCGCGTGCAAACACGCACACACACACACACACACACACACACACACACACACACACACACACACAAACACACACATACACACACACACACACACCGGTACATGTGATGTGAACCCCTGAGCCGGGAATCGGAACCCCTTGCCCCGGACAAAAACTCCTGGAACAATTACAGCAAAGAACTTAAAGAC